CACACTGGGCCTACACCTGGAGTTATGGTTTGGGAAGCAATTTCATTTGTGAGTGGAAGCATTCTCGTGGTTATCCCACTTATTCTTACTGCAAATTTGCTCGTCAGTCTGGCGATTCCACCTGTTCTGCTGCCATTCATGAACAGTATTCAAAGGGGTGTTTCCCAAGAGGACAACGCTTTTCCTCATACCGCTGTTGTAATCCAACATGCTGATTAGAGTGTCGACATATTGCCTTGGCGTGCTAGATAACCAGATCTATTACCAATCGTGACTGTATGCGACATCATTGAACTACAACTCCAGCGTCATCCACAACCATCATTAACCGTCCCTGTACTGACCGACCAGGTGAAACAAGCTTAGAACTCTATCCCACAGATTGACATCCGGTACCTGTACGACACAATGTATGCACGTTTGCATGCTTGCATTCAAAATCCTGACGATAACACCGATTATTTAATGTACCAGCATTTCACATTTGAAATGGCTTTTCTCTCGCGCTTGCAGTAACCATTAAAAATTTAATCAATTAAATATGTTACCTAGACAAATGTTGGAGAATTGCTCTACAAAATTATTTTTGTAGTTGGGGCTTTTTTCCTGTCAGTGTAGATATTTTGAGACAAAATTGTAAAACATTTTCCCTATTTGGATTCTACAACTGAAATTATGCTTAAATATTAATTTTTTTTTCAAATTTGGTGAGAAACTTATTGAAAAATTTATCTGCGCAACTTTTTTCAGTTTGCACTGAGAATAATTCGTTTGACGAAATTGTTAATTTATGGTAACCTGTTTCCCTTACCTTTTCATTGTGTGCGAAAGAAAAAAAAAAAAAAATTGCATCGTCCGTTCTTTCAAATAATGTTAACTAAGTACGTAAACCACATTTAGCGTTATTATCACTTATAAAAATTATGCCAAATTTCAAAACTTACCAATACATAAATTTATATATATCTCTGGAAATTTTAAATAAAAAAAAAAAAAAACTCTTTTTGTTGGTATGCCTAGAAATACATCTACTTTAAGTTGATGGCAAATATTTTACAGAATTCAAAGAGTTTTTCCGAAAAATTTATTAAAATTGCTAAAAAATACATATTTTAAAGATAATTTTCTCATTTGATTCATTTGGAAGATTAGGATCTGAATGCCTTAAAATTTATGTTCAGGCTGCCTCATGTGCAATGTCTCTATCAATCAACAAAATGCCTTTAGCTGTTTATAAGTCACAGTATATAATTCTTTCATTTAACTTCAAAAAATCTCAGGCCCATCAGCGGCCGAGCGGTAAAGTCGCTGAACACTGGTAATTATGTTCGAATCCCGCGAACGGGCTGGCTGCATGGGCGTTTTTGTGGTTTCCCCCATGTCTAACGTGTATACGAGCCAGTTTCCCTTAGAAAGTCCTCCACGAAGGCATTCCTTCCCTTAGGCAGATAGCCCTCGAGGCTTTGCCGTAATTAAATAGCCTTAGCCTTGCAAAAAATGTAACTTTTGTAATTCTCGCATATGTGAAATCTGTACTCTCAAATGAACTGCATTTTTTTTAAATGTTAAGAGGCATTTTTTAACATACTTTTTTTCATGAATTAAAACAGCTTTTATTACTTCTGTCTCCTGAGTTGAACTTCTTCAAACCAGCCTTTTTGCCTGAATATGAATAAATATTTAGAACTTTACCTCAGAAATGACAAAACTGGCTTAAGAGAAAAAAGAAGCCTAAACGACTTTGCTGAAGATTAAAATTACTTTTCGGGCAGTTAAAAATTTGGTAGAATTTAAATTGTATCAATTAAGCGATTAATTTTTTTGATCTTCTATGTAATATTGAGAAGATGCAAAATAATGTTTATATACATTTTCCATTTGGGCATATCTGCCTCACGAGAGATGTCTTTAGCGCTTAATCACACCGTTCTTCCAAAATTACTGATCATAACTGCATGCTTAACAGATTACAATATAGTTAGATTAATAATTAAATGACAGTGTAATTGCTATTTCAGTTAATAACATCATAATGTAATTCAATATAATTAATTTAATTATAATATAATTTGCAATTATAGTCATGAGATATGTAGTACCCCCACTTATTAAAATCACTGGTTAATAAACTCAGCGGCTTATTACGTTTAAGATTTCTAGGAACCAAAAAGAGATACATACTAATCAGTAGAAAAAACGCCGAACTCATGTACGTCGCTTAGTAAGTTCAGATTGGCAAGAGACTGATTTTTCAATGCCAAAATATCCTACTTATCAAAACTTTTCATAGTTCGTTCATTTAATATATTGTGGACCGTGGCTTTATTTTCCAGGTATGTAATACTTCATTAAAGCAACTTTGGTCGAAGTTTTCCTATGTGCTGGTCCTTGTACCCGTGACACTGTTTTCAGTATTCTTTGCTCGCACACGACTTCAGAAGATCAAAATTTCATTTCCTAAGTTTATCAAATGTAATTTTCTGAAGGCATTGTAAATGAAAGAGGTTTCTTTCTCGACTAACACATGATAGATGGTGGAAATATAACTTCCGTATCTCGTCTTTACTTCCCGTCCCGTCTTCCGTCGTCCGTATTCCGTCAAATGCTTCTAAGAACTACCGTACATTAAGGGTTTGAAAGGATAACTGTAGATTGAGGAAAAAAAAAAGGCAAAGAAAGCATTTGTCATGCTTATAATCATGAAAATGCAGATCGACTAAAGAGACGAAGGGCAACTTTTCTGCTGGCTAGAAACGTAAAATTTGAAGTTTAAATAAATCAATAGGTGAAGAATTTTTTTAAAATATATATTTGTAGTGTGCTTAACTTGTAGCATCGAAATGCCAAGCGAAAAGACTTCAGCCTAAAGAAAAGGGCAAATTGTTAATATATTGTCCTAACTACAGCCAAAGAAAAATTGCTTTTAATCTTGGAATTTCCACAACAGCAGTGTGCAATTTGCTTAAAAAAGGAATTATAATTAAGGAAGATTTAATGAAATATAGAGATGTCTCAAGGGAGCGCAAAACAGACAGATAATCGAGAGGTGTTGAAACTGCCTTTCTAGAACAGTTTGAAGCTATATACTAGATACAAAATGTTTCTGTTTCTAGAACTTTTTTTCACTGATGCGCTAAATACTAGACCATGATTTTATATCTACTAAAATAGAAATATGGCTAACAAGTTGGAGAGAGAGAAACCCAACACTGTTAATCAGAAATTACATGGTGAGAAGGAAGAATCAGGTTAGCTCCACCTGATAACTGGATAAAAGTTGTATTACTTGAACTGCTAAATGAATACAAACCACACGAAATTTGTGATACAGATGAAACTGGACTGCGTTATAGAACATACATTAATATTTTAAAGGTGAAACAGTAATTGATGGTCAGAAATTTATTTCTGACTTACCACAGCAACAAGAAAAAGTAATATTTTTACTGTTTCTTTTTTTGCAAAAACAGTTTTTAGCATTTAGCCTTTAATTTTAGTATATTATAAAAGATTTTAAATGTCATAACAGAAAAAATGTTCGTAAATGATAAACGGAAATGAATGTTATGAAAATGCTAACACTTTGAAGGAGTTAAGTAAGTAGATATCTCTGCGAGAGGCCATGCATATGATAGCATAGTACAGTCCATATAACATTAACCTCCTAAAATCAATTAAAAATTGTTTTTGAATGCGGGACTTTTATGTAGAAGAAGCCTCAGAGGAATTGCAAACTGTAACTGATTTTCGGACATTAATGAGGGAAGTTATGAAGATTTATTTTTAGCATCTGATTCAATTCACAACAATTTTGACACATTTTGTATAAAAACTGACTGCAAAAGCGGTCTAAGAAACTACAAAAACTGACAGCGAAAGTGATGCAAAAAAAGTAAAGCCATGCCATCATCAATCGAAAAGAACTGCAATTCTAAGAAAAACTCTTGAACTGAAAGGTGCTGACCGGTGAACTAACTACCAGCTGTTTTTCTAAATTAGAACACAACTGAGAAAGAAACATAGAATAGTTTTTTGTAAGAGATAGCATTTTATCGAGACTGTATTTATAAAATAGTTTTATAAAAAAGTAAAAAATAAATTGCTTAAATAGTTTGTAAAATTATTAAGTATTTTTGGAAGCAAGAGACTTGAAAAATGAGCAACGCCTTCGCCGGGAATCTAACCGCGGACCTCTGGAATACGCGCCCAGCGTGCAGACCACCACACCACGAAGGCATGGCAAGAAGGCTGGAGAAATACCTTATATACTCCCACTTTTAAAGGACGACTGTTTTTAGGGGATCCAATACTTTATAAGGTATTTCTCCCGCCTTGTCAGCTTGCCTTTGTGGTGTAGCGGTATGCACGCTGGGCCGGTATTCCAGAGGTCTGTGGTTTGATTCCCGGCGAAGGCGATTGCTCATTTTTCATCTTGCCTGTTTCCAAAAATATACCTAATGTCTCTACAACCTTATAAGTTTAATTTTCAGTTATTATTTTAACTGTTATCGAATTGTCTTAGTCGCTTAATAAACTCAAAACCTAGAACGGAAGTGATAACAATAAACAGCGGGTCTGTATATATTTTTGGTACTGCCGATTGCATTTAAAAAGGAAAATGCACAACTAGATGTTATAGCAGTCCCATACATAAAATTTGAACGTTCTACGGCTAAACGCTTTTAGAGTTATGCAAGATATATAAGTATGTACATAAGTACAGACGTCACGAAAAAATCCATTTTACAACCCGTTTCAGAAAGAAAGAGTCGTTTATTCTGTCCTACATACAAACGTCACGCAAAAAATAATCAAAATTAATTCGGGAAATGGATATTTCCGCTGGAATATGATACCGGAAATTTTTCGCGATTACACTACTTATTTTACTTTGCAGAAGAAAGTAAAAATCAGACATCGATGTAAAGCTCTTTAAGGAAATTAGTGCACTGAATGAGAAATACTTTCTATAATCTGAAGAAAAGACAGATTTCAAAAAGTAAATATAATTATATTTTTTTATTTCTTTGTCGTTGAATCATATTACTGTTATTTATTGGTTAAAAATTCACATTTCTGAATTTATTTATAAAAAGTTCATCAACAAATACAACTATTTATACATAATACTCATAAATACTCGTTTTAAGTGTTGTTTTCTGAATTGTCAGGATCTTGTATTCCTGTCCCATTCTGTTGTGCAGAATTCTTTTCTTCTTGCTTCTGAGCCAGTGTTTCCCATATTTCTAAATTTGCTCTACTTAGTGTAAAAAGGAGAAAGAGGAAAAGTCAATTTAAGTTACATTTCGATTTTGAATAGCTTATTAAATGAAATAACTTACTATCATAATACATTAAAGAAAACTGCTTGAAATTAAGCTTAGAACTTACAATAAATGAATGAAATTTAACATGCAGAATTTAACATAATTTATTTTTAATGAACAAAAGAGAAAAAAGTTGACAATTGAAAAAACTTATACGAAGCCATAATCAAAGCACAGAGTAATATCAGGCAATTTGCAAAAACTTGTCTTATTCTTTTTAATTACCTTTTTCGTAAGCAACTTAAATAATCGCGTATCTAACAGTTATTGGAAGAAAGGATGGTCATCATTAAAACTGGAGACGGTTAATGAAAATTTCACGGTTTCCATAATTCTTCCAATCTTTAGACTGATTATAGAAAGCTTTCGAATGCCCATATACAATTCGGAGTTTAATTTGAAGGTTACTCTTAAAATACTATCTAATGAATCTTATTTTTGACAAGAATGTGGGGGGGGGGGGATAATTATAATTAAGAGTTTAAAAAAGGAGGGAGAGGATAAAAAGTATTCATAACCTTTTACAACATTCATAATATTTCAGAATCTTTACGATCTATTTGGAGTCTTAAAAATAAAAGAATTTAGTTAGTTTTCTAAGATGATGCGATGATTTTATGTTTCTGTTGAGTTTTCGATGATATATGTTGTTACGAATTTTGTATATACGTAAATAATTTTAGCAAAGTTATATGTGGAATTCTAGTACCTTTTGTGTAATGCAGCATAAAAAGTCTTAAGAGAACGAAGCTCTGTCGGAAAAATAAGATTACAGGGTCAAGTCTATTTAACATTGAGATAAATGGCTATCTAGCTAAATGGACGAGATATCGCCAAGCTGGCTACGATTTTGTGGCCAAACCTGACGAGAAATCGCCAAAAGTAGCAAATTTAGCGACTATTTCACGACATTTTAGTCTGGTTCCTCTATAACTGTTATGGGTGCTGTAATTCATCCCTATATGTCACTAAAACCGCATTTTCTCCTTATACGTAATTTTAACTATATATGCCTTTCAGTAATTTTGAGAAATGGAAGGTACTAACTATCTCGGCGGTGGGAGGAAAGCTATATGAGGTCAGAGAGAGCAACAACTCTCAGCTATTAGTTCAGAGTTGAATGCGGAATCTCTGTTATACTGAGAAGAGCTGTACGAGCTTTCTCTTGTGGAAAGTTTCAGAACTGTAAATTGATTCTTCTGAAAAAATAAATTTAATCAATCTATCATCGGCTTTGTGTGCATTCGATCAATTAAGAACCTATATGCACGCAGCAGTTTTTTGTGTGAGGAATGGAGTTGAATGCCGGTGACAAGAGCGATGGATTAGAAACTAAGACAGCTGGTGACTAACTGTGCTGCTTTTCAAGAAAAGATGGAAGGAGCCGTTAACTCCGTTAAAGAAAAGATGAAACCAGACCAAGAAAGATGAAACCGGGCCATTAAAGATGAAAGGAGTCATCCAGACAGTCCAAGGAAAGATCGAAGGAAGTTAAGAGAAAAGAGAAATTACTACTATAACAGAAAACAAATTCGAGGCTAGGGAAGGCAGATAGCTCTCTCCGGCGCGTTGAAGCTTCTCTTTAGCGAGAAGTGTTTAAAAAGACTATAGCAGGGTTAAATTAAAATCTCGTCAACAGAAGCTCACGGAAACTTTTCAGGGCTCGCCACGGATGTTGAAAGGCTGTCTTTTGTCGCCTTTTTGGAATGCCCACAGAAATAAGGCAAATACTGTCCCTGCAGTACTTCATCGATGGAATCCAGGATCCTAAGATACAGAAAGCCCTACGAATGGATGTCAAGAATCTAAAAAGTACTTTAGATCACTCCATGAAATTCGAGGCAGCCCAACAAGCAACCCGTAGAGACTGCCACTCAGTCAGAGCTACTCATGTGAAGGAGCCAATGGATCAACTGGCTGCTCTTCTAGATGATTTAATCAGGCAAGTCAGAGGCTTGAAGTGGAATAGGAGTGACAACAGACCGATTCCAAAGTGCTGGAACTGCGATGAAGGCCACGTACGAAGGAAATGCAGGGCACGCAATTTAAGACCCCAGCAAAAAGGCAGGAATCAAATTAGTGGCCATCTCGCGGAGCGGAGGTTACCAGATAATGAGAATCTCCATTTTTAAGCACTTCAGATTTCTGGAATGACTAGTGTCAGTAATGGACTCTTCATCATGGGACATATAAGTAGAGTTACTTGAAATATGACCATCGATACAGAAGCCAAGGGTACCATCATCCTAAAAGGCTTTGGCTCAATGGCTGGAAGGTAAACTCATCTGGACGCCGCCTTGCATTACCCTCCAAACCGTGTTCGGGGATAAAATCAACATCGATTGAAAATTAAACGCTAACGTCACGTTTGGAAGTGTCGCCTATCATCACATGGAATATGTGGCAAATATTACAGATCATTGATTACTCGGATTAGACTTTCAAAGGAAATACAATTTTTCCTTGGACTTAAAAAATAACGAACTGCATTCAGCGTCTGAAGACATAACCCTATTCCGGATTAAGTATGAAGGTGTTAAATCCGTCCACCAAATCAATACGATAGCACATTAACAGCAATAACAGAATTTTTACTTCCTGGATCCTTAGCTGAAAACATAATTTCTTATACAGTGAATAATATATAATCACTAATATATATCACTAATTATGACAATAACTAAAAAACAATATCACTTCCTTTATGCAATAGAGTGTACAATATGTTTTGTTAGCCCATCTTTAGCTAACACAAGCAAACTGAATGGTTTGCCCACTCGAGAGCATGCCGTAGAGCATAATTGTCCGTGTGAAAAACATGGTGTGCTCAAATCTCAGCCCCAAACAGACATCGTTTGGCCTTGAGACTTATTGATAGTCATTGCAAATGGCAGTCTAATTGGAAATTGAAGACTTTTAAATTGAATTGGCACATCTGTATGTATAATAGGGATTCGTGGTAGTAATATATTTTCTATATTAGTGATATAATTAGTGATTTCTGGTACCTCCCACCCCAATTCATTAATTTTTTCCAGTGTTCGTTTTGCATAGCGCGCTCTTGCAATGTCGTTTTGCAGAATGACGCCTTTTCTGTTGACAATTGCCGAATATTTTTTGACTGGTTCACTCGATTCAGTTGCTCATAATAAAAGGTCTGCATTAACAGTTTGTCAAGGTTTCAATTTTAAATTCAATTTTAATTCGCGGAATTGTTCAAAATGAACAATTCCGCGAATACTCCACCAAACACACAGAAGCGCCTTTTTGGGATGTAAACACTTTGTAACCCCTATTAAAACTGCCTTTTGCGTTTTGGATTCTCATATAGGACCTATTTTTCGTCTCCAGTAATCAAACGATCAAAAAAAGGTTCTGTATGGTGCCGTTGACGCAATACGTTGCATGTGATGGATCGGCTGGCTTTGTTCTCTTCGGACAGATTATTGGGTACCCAAACACATGCTCTACTTATTTTCAATCTGCTTTAAATATTCTTGGATGGTCGACCAAGGTTGCTTAAGGGTGTTTGCATGGATTTGCGTCCACTTCTGATCTTAGCATGTCGTTGTCTAATGTCGTTGGTCTTCCTGATCGGAGTCAGAGAGATCAAAATTATCGGATTTGAACTTGGAAAACCATCTTTGGCATTTACGAACGTCTAATGCACGTGGATAAACACCGCAAATGTTTTTGGTCGCAACTGTTGCATTACTACCCTTGAGAAACTCAAAAAGCATACAATGCTCTTCTGGTATCTGGCTGGCCATTTCACCCAAAATTTCAAAACGAAAGTTTACTACTGAATTATTTAGAAGTGAGCAAGCCACAATAACCTTAAAATGACTTTGGCACGCCTTCGAGATGCTCAATGATCTGACAAATTACAATCAAATATCGACATGCGCAGAAACGACATTACTTTATGGTTCCCCTGTTAGATATGCACTTCGGATAACCTCAGGTTTGTCTGGATTCTATTTCATATCAACATTTTGAGCTTCTCGCCACTTTGCCAAAATATTTCTGATTTCAGCAGTCGAAGCATGTCTTCATCTCTATGTTCTCATCTTCACAAGAAATGTGCACTTTTTTCCGCACCGCTGCGTAAAAAGTTCGTTTAGCTCATTAGTAGTCAATTTTCGAGCATGCTTCTTCAGTAATTCTTCAACATTATCATCCTCTAGTTCCAAGCTGAGATCCCGAGGAGTTGGCTCAATATCCTGTACCTTTATCTGTACCTGTTGTTCTTCATCCTGTACCTGTTGTCCTACATCTGAGGTATTTTCATTATTAAAGGAAGAACACAGTTTTCTTCATGATAGAGACATTTTATTGTTACCCTTTGCCCAAGCCTTTACAATTAAACTAATTGCAATGACAATATTGTATTTTTCTTTCCAAAATTTTTTTATGGTGATGTTAGTAGTCTCATATATTTCAAAGCACCTCCTAAAAAGTACCCTTGGATAAAGTACCAAGTGCCCTTGGTAATTTTGAAATTTGTAATTACTAACTGATCCGTAGTCTGTATCAGCGATGTAGCCTTGAATGGAAAAAAAATCACCTTAATAAAGCCAGTCTGCTCTGGTGTCTTCTTGTATACCTTTGGATGTTCAATTACATGTTAAAATAGCTTTTAGAGGCAGATTGTTTTGCTGAAAGTAGGCTTTGAGAGTGGATCCAAACACTTAGCGACTGTGTGTATCTTTCTGCATAAACTATGAGTAAATAAAATATAAATGACTTAGGTATGAATATTTTGCAAAAATGCGATATTCTCAAAAGCTATAGGCCGTTTATGCCTGTAATCGGGTATTTTCCTTATGTTTCATTGAAATCCGTCACTAATAGATAGATAATTCGTTGCAAATCAGAACCATCTTCGTTCCCCAAGATATTTCTGTATTCTTCTTCTATCTTTCTTATCGCTTGAGGTCTTTGACTCTTTCCTAAGCGAAATTGAAAGATGAAGGAATTTTTCGTCCCTTGAGTGGACTTCTTATTCACTTCTGGTACTTAAACCCTTAACGGTTTCGTTCTTCACTTTAGCTATGCTCACTCTTAATTATTCAACTTAATTTCTTAGCGAAGTTGTGGAGGTTATTGCATTTATTTGCAAAGTTACTCCGGAAGCAAAACGCCTTGGGCCTTGGGCCAAGATATTTTTTACCTACAACTCGTCGTTAACCAGGTGTTCTTAACTAAGTGTCGTTAAGTAAGCGATATTTTGTTATACTACTGTATTACAAAAATGTATTCCTTTTATTAAGCATCATCAATAATAATAATAAAAAACTGTTCTAATTTGTCTGGATTTAGCTACCACCATTATACGAAAGATGTTTACCATTAAAATTACTTAAAAGACGAGAAAACTGATTTTGTGTCTAAATCATCGAATAATGCCCCCAATGGCATATTGAAAATTTTTGGGGCATTATTAAAAGAATGTAATCCGATGGGTAAAAGAAGCCCCCAAAATTAGACTCAGTTCAAGCGAATTTACCTTTGACTTTTCAAGTCAGTTTCAGAAGAACCAGTATAAGCGTGCATAAGAGAAGCCACGGTAAATCTTCTTAAGATAGGCTGAAAAAGGGAATTTTTGCAGCAGTTTAAACGTGTACATTAAAAAAGAGCTTATTGAATAATATTTTGATCCAAGTTTTAAATTACATGAATTACAGAGTTAACTTAAAAAATTTTCCATATTTATTTCATTATTTTAAATGAAATAGATACTTGAATGTAATTTAATATGGGTGGGTAAGGGTAATGTTAAGTAGACTCTGTTGCTATAGAATGCTGTATAGGTATTTATTTCCACCTTTAACTATTGAAATTAATTACTATTGTTATCTGAAAAAGAATGTTATTCAAAATTGCTCCTTCCTGTTGATTTCGAATAAAGGGGGTTTTAATGCATAAAAGAAAGAGACAGAAGATTAAACACATATCCCTTCTTCAGTCTATTTTGGCTCTTAAATATTTACTTTAACAATGAATTTGGCTTATTCTAGAAAAATTCTTATGCTGGGAGAAACTAAAAGAATGAATTTTAATATTAAGATCATAATTGAATTTCATTTTAAATTGAAGAGAAAGTGAAACCGTTAATTCTAAAAGCAAAGTCTGATTCGTTATTTAATGTGTTCTAAAGAATTAATAAAACGTATTACAAAAGGAATAAGAAAAATCCATCTACACTTGCCTACATCCGTCCAGCATAGGTTTTGTCTCTGGAATCAAAGCATATAGCAATTCATAACACGGAATACAAATTCCTTTTAGGAATCCAACCTAAAAAATAGCATATAAATTTTATGTAAAGTAAGTTAATTAAGGCAGATTAATTTCATTGTTAAAAGATAGTTATTAAGATGATATTCATATATAACGTATTTAATTATATAAATTGAAAGATTTCCTAAACAGAATTTATTATTTCTATATTTTTATTTTTGTTAGTTGGTAATTAATTAGTTTATGAGAGTATGTTTCATAAGTAGACACAAATTTGTGTTATAAACGATACTAATTTTTTTTTTTTTTTTATTATAGTGTTTCTCAATATCGAACCACAGCCTGTTCTGGATGTTTATGATAGCCAATGATTGTGGACATTTTTAAAGATTGTCACGATTTTCTAACTATATATAGATATTCCAAGATTAAAACGTTCATATCAAAATTAAAGGAGAAATTGCGTTGGGATTGCTTGAAACCTCACTTACTTGCGAAGCAGGTTGTTCATCGCTTTTCGTTCTGTCCATAATAGGTATCGGTTGCCTTCCTTGGGATTTTTCCACATCACCCTGAAAAATGAAGAATCTAATGGGCATATTAAATTAATCACATATTATCCATATAATGCTAAATTTAATTTCATACCTGATCGTAAAATTCCTCAAATATTACTTTCACTATTTCTTTTTGCAGTTCCCAGGATTTTGTGCTTGCGCAAAGATCACAAGCCGTCATTGTAAGAGCTTCTAGAAGTAGTCTGCATATTGAAAAATAGTTTACATTCAGTTAAATTATAAGAATGTTTTTATTTTTTTAAAATTTTTATATAGAGTAGAAGTGCAATTTTTATTTAGAAGACACTGTTCAAAAAAGAATGGTATTGGTTTCTGTGTAAAAGTAAAGACGGTGCTGTGAAATTCAGGCACATTTCGTAGAAAGAACTGATCCAGCTAGTTAAAAATCTTCGCATTGTTTCACTCAAATGCAGCCCAAGTAACGTTAACCGTGAATTAAAATACAACGCTTTTTCTTTGAAAGATACCCGGACAATGTTATGCTATTAAATTGTATTTTCTCATGGAAATTCATCGATTTCGAAGGCTAACAGCTACAGGCCCCTTTTCGTCAGAAGCAATAAAATCTGCTGTTATCTGCTACTAGCTAATCTGCTCTACTATCAAATCTCTGCTTCTGATGAAGAAGGACCGTACCTGTTGATTTCTAAATCGATATAGCCTTTACTAAAATCTACGGCAAACACAAAGTTGTTGCTTTGGCTAATTTTATGTTGAACATGATACCAGGTTTTACTGAACAACTCTCGTTAAGAGAGCAATTTTATAAAAATTGATTTGATTTCAAATGTTAAAGATATTTTTTTGGAAATTAATTTTGCATTTTCTTTTATAGTTTCCTGATTCCCATGAAAAAACATTATGTTTCGACTTTGTCTGACTGCAAAATCAAATAAAACGTTTGAAAAGACTTCGCAATCTTAAACTGATTATCGATGGACATTGTAGGTTCCTTACTAATGATTATTTGGACTGTAATAGTTCTTCAATTGGTGTTTATGCTTTACCCTTCCATGAAAAAAATTCCGAAGAAAGAGACTACTAGTCATGAAAGAAAATATTAAAATATTAATCATAATACAAAGGTTGCTATTCATGTTTCTGGCACTAGCAACAGTAAGTGTTGCTAGACGATTCCAATCTGCAGACGATTCCAATTCAAAATTTGGTATTTTTAACCATAATTTATTTAAAACGTTTTGCCATTTTAGCGTGATTTGTGTTGTTTACAGTAAATTGGAGAATTCATCTTGAGCAAAAAATGGAATTGACTCGAACATTTTCGTGCGATTATTTTTCATAACTTTCGACATGGATTATGAAGACAAGAGTGCTTCGATGAAACTTAATTCTTCATACAGCGATAAAGCACCATCCTACAACATTAGCAAAAATCTGGTATAACGAATTCAATCTTGGTCGACGTTCGCTCCAGGACGAATTCCGTGAATGTCGTCCAAAATCGCTTGTTGTGCCAGAAAATATGTGAGTGAACTGATAAAGCAAGATCGTCATATGATATACCATGAGATTGAGGCATCTTTGGGCATTAGTATGACAAGCATGAATAAGATATTATATGAACATTCGGCCGTAAAAAAGATTTGTTCGCGTTGGATCCAGCATTATCTGACAAACGCTCAAAAGAAGGCTCGTGTAGATTAGTGCAAGGAAATGTTGGAAAAATACGTTAAAGGTGCATCAAAGGCTGTGTATAACACCTACACAGGTGATGAATCATGGATCTATGCATATGAGCCCAAAACGTCGACTGAACAGCAGTCGACTGAATGAATCTTCGAAGACGAGCCAAATCCATTAAAAGTTGTTTGCGGAAGAAGCACATCGAAGCAAATGGTTGCCTGTTTCTTCGACATTACTGGTCTTTTGGCGACAATAACGTTAGAGAAACGCAGGACAGTCCATTCCGAGCGGTACACGACCATTTGTTTGCCAGAAGTCATAGTAGAAATTCGAAAAAAATCAGAAGAAAAGCGAATCATTCTTCATCATGGCATTGAGAGCTCTTATACATCGGCTGAAACAAAGGAATTTTCGACGAGTCAAAATATCGAATTGATGGGTCATCTGCCGTACAGCTCTGATTTCGGATCCAATGACTTTTTTTATTCTCTCACATCAAGAATAAATTACGTAGTCAGCCATTTGCGACACCTGAAGAAGCGGTAAATATATAGATAGGATTCCATAATTTTTTGAAGTGTCATTATTTTGGCGACTTACCCGAATTTTTGAAAATTTTGCGTTTAGAGATTTAGGAGATAATATTCAAGGTGAAATGGGTTTCAAGATTTCTAATTTCCTCTTTATTACTATCTACATATACTATATAAGGAAGAGTGTCAGTTTGTATGTAATTCATGCAAATCTACAGTTTTATATTTATCTTGATAAAATTTTACACTCTTGACCTTCAAAACAAGAGGAAGATCACTGTCTGCATAAGATATTAAAAAAAAAAAAACACCCCATGGGGTTCACAGTCAAGCCGTTGATATTAAAATATTTATCTCAGGACACCTATCTCGCGCACATGTCACCTAATTTAAGTTCATGTGTTTGTTGTTGCGTTGTCCCCATCAGTGGAAGTCATACTTGCTAAGCAACGAATTTATAATTCTTCTTTTATGAAAAATAAATAAAAGTATTTACACACAGTTTCAATTTTGAAACTACGTCAGCAGTTCTTAGGTTCACGTTGCCGCTGCTGCGTTCCAGCTATCAGTTCTTACTAAAACTGTTAGATAAGACTGTTCTTACTAGAACTGTTTGTTTAGTCTTTTAGAACAGTGTAAATCTTTCAAGAACAATGTTGAACCTTTAAAGCAGGATTTAAGTCTGCTGTCAGTACTTTGCAAATATTTCGAAAACGGTGAAGAAATCGGCCTAAATGCATGGCGATTTTTGGAAAACTTATTTTTGAAAAAAGGCATAACCAGTAACAAAACAAGTATCAATTCTTACTAAAACTATTACATGGCACCGTATTTGTTCTATGTGTTCTATTCGAGTTTAGTAAAATTTTACATAATCCAACTTGAACTAAAATACGGTAAAAATCATTGTCTACTTGAGATTTAAAAAAAAAAAAACCTATCCACTCCCCCTAAACGAAGCCTCTTCCCTCCTCGTTAGCATGGGCAGCGCAGGTTCTTTCAGCTAGTCTTGAGTACAGAAGATCAGCTACTGCTAAAGAAAGTTCAGTTCAGTCAATACGTTTTGAAAGTTCAGTGTTTTACTTAACAAAAATACCTTTTAGTACCACCTATGAGTTATTTTCAATTATGTATTATGCAGTGTATTTGCCCTTGAAATTTCTGAGTTAAGCTGCACGTCTTGGAATAAAACGCACTGAATGTTTCCCTGTTTTCTGAGAATTTCTTGAGATATGGAGAATACTCATATTCCTAATATTATATTATGTTCGTCTCTGACTTCAGAATGTTTGTGCATTGTAAGTGTTAATAAGAGTTTAAATTTTGGCTATAACTCGAGTTGCTTATTCTGCAAATTAAAAACCTAACCTTTATTTAATTACACTTTAAAATCCTCATGATGATCTTTCACGATTCTAGATGATTTTAATCTCCTATGCATGGGTTTGCTTTCGTAAAGCGATCTTTAGGAATATATTTATCTGCTTAGAAATAATAGGCTTTCCTTGAAATAACAGTCACTTTTAATTACGAAAGGTTTAATAATACATACTGTATGTATATTTAATATTGCATACTGGTGTAAATACGTCTTTCCAAGATTATCACCTTTGAAAGGGGTGATAATTTTATAAGTAGCATAATACACTGAATGCGCTCTCTTTCCTAAGATGGCCTCCTCTGAAAATGACAATTATTTTCTGAGACCATAAATATGCATCGGTTTTGAACCTACAAAAGAATCGTAGGTGTTCATCATAAATACTGTTCACTGTAAGCCTATGATGAAACTGTGGCAAAACTAATTGTATACTGTTCACTGTAATATACAGAATGAAACCTTTGATGGCGACTAGCTTCCTTAGGCGATTACCTGCAAAAGGTATCAGTATGTCTGAGAATATAATAATGATAAAAACATGTATGTTCTTTAAAGTGACCACCTCTGCAGCTGACCAAAACCGGAATTGGGATGTATTCAGGAGGTTTCATGGTATAAGACGTTAAAAACCATTTAAAAGGTATATAAAGTTTTCATATAGTGTTTAAATATATATAGCAATAAACTATTATTGCTTTCATAATTTTTATTTCAGATCGATAGTAGTTTCAGATTACACCAAGTAAATGAGAATCCTAAACGCTGGCAGTTTTTTGTTTCATTTTAGGTTCGGGCTTGCTGCAAGTATTTTGATGATTTTTCGGTTTGCAGCGTTAGTTGCAAATGATGATAAGCTGTGTGACTAATTAGCTTGTAGGGTTTATATTTATTTTAACTAACATTTATTTCAAGTTTAAGCTATCTTTCCTGTCAAGCCTTTACTTTCCCCTAGAATTGCCAGTGCCAGAGTATGTAAATTATAGTAGAACGCGCAGTCTTATTCAAATTTAGCAGAAGTAAGTTGAGTTTAAATAGAAAGGAAACGAGATTGTATGGGTGCTTCTTGATCGCGAGCGTGAAGGTTGCTAGGGTAGAAATTTAAGAACTGCGCGTTTCGGCTGTGTGCCTATTTCGGCAGTTCGTTGAATCTTCAACTGCTTAATCAGTAAGCTTGCTGAATCTCAGCTGTATCTTAGAACGCTGTTTAAGTTAGTTACCATAGCCTCGTAGGTAGTGATCTCGTATTTATTCATCCTGTCATTTATTTTTTAGTTTCACATTTCTGTTTTGTTAACCGCCGGGTCGGCGTAGCGTAGTTTGTGAGCGTCAAGTGAACGCAGCTGTTATTTGTAAAGTGGAATAAAAAGGGATTTAAACCCTTCTTACGAGTTTGTGTAATTTACAGTTCATAGCAGTCACTACCACTGTTGCTGGCAAGTTGGGGCCTCGCAACACTATAAGCTAACTAGATTAAATTATTAGTGACGGCAAGCTTCATGAAAAATTTCACACAAACAGAGAAAAAAAAAAAAAAAAAAAAAAAAAAAAAAACATTTAGATAAATACATGAATGTTTGGATAAAAAGTGCTTATGTAAAGCAAGTACTCATTAACATGTTTTCTTTTTCAAGGAAGTTCAAATTTCAGATATCAATATATTTTTATACAATTTTTATATACCTGACATCGCAAAAAATTAAATAATGTTTTTTAAAATATCATATTTAATCCATAAACTCTAAAGCACATCATCATAACTTTGCAGTACAAATATGCATCTGCGTTACTATTTGAAAAAAAAAAAAAAAAAAAAATACCTATGCTCCCCAGATTTCCAGTCAAACCTTTTTGCCTCTACAAGTTCAGCAAGTTTTGCCTTGTTTGGAAAGAACAGGGCTAAATCAGTTGCGAGAATGCAGTGTTTAATGTTGTTCAAAACCTAGAAAAAAACGCACGAATTATAGAAAATCTCAAATTTTTATTATAACTATCGATGATAAATACGAGCAGCTTTATGTTTACATTAGTAATAACATATAAAAACTATGACGCACTTATGCATCACAATTCTGACGTAAAAATATTAGAATTAAAATTTCATCGGGGAAAAAACACAAAGGTACGCTTCTTTGTACGGGGCCCGTTTTATTTTCTGCATTAAATTAAATGCGTTAAAAAAGGACCTAAGGAATAATGAAAGAAGCAGGTACACACACACACACACACACACACCAAAAAAAAAAAAAAAAAAAAAAAAAATCCCACTGACGACACGGGATGTATGAATTTAGGAGCGGAAAAGGAAATTATTCATCAGCTGCAGTTACTTAATGATAGTTTTAATAAAAAATATCAGCTTCTGTGATTTTCTAACATGTGCGCTTATAGCGTGTGTCTCCAACAGTCGTCAGCTATATTAAAATTTTAGTTTATTTGGTGAGCTAACTGTCTACTAAAGCATTTTTGTTTAGATATTATTATTTATTAAAATCTAAATTTACAACATGTATACAGCGCAAAAAAGGGGGGGGCAGTTCTATATCTCTCGTTTTACTGGGCCAATTGACGAAATTGAAATCGCGCTTTTCACGTTTCGAAAGCACGACTCAGGATATATATTAGATTTATATAAAGCATCATCCTAACATAGGTATTTTGACACAAAATCGGTCTTTTTTTCTGATATGACGTAAATTTTTTTCATATTTCGATTCTACCACTCAAATTATGCTTAAATATTAAATTTTGTAAAATTTGGTGTGGGATTTGCGGAAATTTACCTTGGCGTATTTTTTTTTTTTTTTTTTTTTTCAGTTTGAGGCAAGAATAATTTACTTGGCAAATTTTTTAATTTATAGCAACCTATTTTCCTTTTCTTTTCTTCATTGTAGACGAGCGGAAAAAGAAGTTATAGTTCCTACTTTCAAATAATTTTAACAAAGTGCATATTATCATTTGGCGTTTGCCAATTTTCAAAACGCTCCAAATTGTAAATTCATGTATATCTTAGAAAATTTTGAATAGAAAACTCTAATTTTTTGCAGGTGTGCCTAGAAATACATCTACTTTAAGATGATGTTAAAAATCTTATAGATTATAATATAAAATGTTTTTCGAAAATTTTATAAAAAATATTTTAAAATACCAATTTTAAAAATAAATCATAAAAAATGTGCGAATTATATTGGGATTAAGTCTAAACTTCGAGTTCTGGAAGAAGGAATCAATTAAGTTTAATAAAAAAGAGATATTATTAAATATATATCAAATTCAATTAACAATGAGGAGTTAAAACTTTGAGAGCTAATTTTTTAAAAACTACTCGTGCGATTTTTGCCAAACTAGTCGTAGAATCAAAATGTGGAAAAAAACTGACATGTCATTTCAGAAAAAGTCCTATTTTGTGTCAAAATACTACTATACACTGAAGTGACAAAAGTCATGGGATAGCAATATGCAAATATACAGATGGCAGTAGTATCGCGTAGAAAATGTATAAATGCGAAGTGCTTTGGCAGGGCGGCTTTCATTTGTGTTCAAGTTATTCATGTGTGAAGAGGGCTTTGACGTGATTATGGCCGCACGACGAGAATTAACAGACTTTGAACGCGGAATGGTAGTTGGAGCTAGACGCATGGGTCATTTCATTTCGGATATCGTTAGGGAATTCAACATTCCGATATCCACAGTGTCAAGAGTGTGCCGAGGAGTATCTAATTTCAGGCATAACAAACCCACACCATGGACAGCACAGTGGCCGACCACCTGCACTTAAACGACCGAGACCCGCGACGTCTGCGTAGAGTTGTCAATGTTCACAGACAAGCAACACTGCGTCAAATAACCGCAGAAATGAATGTGGGACGTACGAGGGACGTGTCCGATAGGACAGTGCGGAGAAAAAATTTATCTTCCTTGGGCTATGCCAGCAGAAAAGACCGACTCGAGTGCCTTTATGACAGCACGACATCGCCCTGCAGCGACTCTCGTGGGCTCGTGAGCATATCGGTTGGTCCCTAAAACGAATGGAAAACCGTGGCTTGGTTCAAATGAGTCACGATTTCAGTTGGTAAGAGCTGATGGTAGGGTTCGAGTGTGGCCGCAAACCCCCGACGAAGACATGGACCTAAAGTTGTCAACAAGGCTCTGTTCAAGCTGGTGGTGGTGGTTCCATAATGGTCTGGGCTGTTTTTACATGGCATGGGACTCGGTCCTCTGGTGTAACTGAACCGATCATTGACTGGAAATGGATACCTTCAGCTACTTGGAGATCACTTAGAGATCACTTACAGCCATTCATGGACTTCACGTACTCAAACAACGATGGGATTTTTATGGATGACAATGCGCCATGTCTCCGGGCCACAATTGTTCGCGATTGGTTAGAAGAACATTCTGGACAATTCCAGCGAATGATCCGGCCACCTAGATCGCCCGACATGAATCCCATCTAACATTTATGGGACATCATCGAGAGGTCAGTTCGTGCCCAAAACCTGCACCGTCAACACTTTCACAATATGGACGTCTATAGAGGCAGCATGGCTCAATATTCTGCAGGGGACTTCCAACGACTTGTTGTCCAATGTCCAGTGTTCACGTCGAGTTGTCAGTTGCCTGCACTTTTGCCGGGCAAAAGGAGGACCGACAAAAATTTAGGAGGATCCCATGAATTTTGTCACTTCAGTGCTATGGTATATACAATCCTATATGCTATCTCAAGAGTGCTTTCTTTCGAGACATGAAAAATGCAAGTTGAATTTCATCAATCGGCCCATTAAAACGGGAAATATAGAGCTGTCCTCCTTCTTTTGCGCAGTGTACATATGAGTAAAGTATAAAAGTAAACTAAATTAGAATGTTAAATTCCAAGTCAAAGTGAAAGAGTGCTTAAATAAATTATTAGCTGCATAAAAACCATATTGTAATTAAAAATGCAATTCAAAAATTGAAGAAATTTTCTTGTAAGAAAATGATTTATCCCTTCCTAATGTTTTATGAGTACATTTTGATTCTCATTTGATTCTCATTAGAATGTAGATTATTGAGGTATTTATGTGACCCTACTCTTTTTAATCAAACTCAGGCTGTAGGAAAAATCGCACAAGAAAGTTAAAATAAAGCTTTCATTGAGAGCCCTATTTAACCGATATTTCAAATTTTCTTGTTAATATAAAAAGCACTTCACAACTAATTTTTCAGTAGCACATCTTATTAAATGCTATCATTTGTGTTTCTGATGAAGAGCATATTGAAAAACTTTTATGATATAGCTGAACAATTTATATCGATATTTATAAAAGAAATGGGAAAAAAACTGTGTAATTAACTCAGTATTTCTAAAATCGCTAAATCGAATCTCGAACACTTTTCGCAGTCTCGAAACTGAATAGGTAATAAATTTGTAATTATTATTCTTAATCATTTCTTGAACTATGAAGTAAATATATAAAGAATAAAAATTAACTTTGTAAACAAAAGCAAATCTCCGTCATGTTCATCTTTGTAAATGAAATGGTCAGGTTTACCAACGATACCTCTGGGACTTTAATCACCGTAAATATCACATCATAATGTTGGCACTGGTTGACGGAGAACTTTTATTTTTAATGGAACAAGAGCGAATTAAAAAAACATGTTTTTAAAGTTTTACTAGTTTATATAATAATAAAATCTTCCAATTTATATATAATTATGTTTTCATTATTATGGCATTTAATAATATTTAATAGAAAAAATCCTCGATTAATACTTTGACAAGCACTGTTTAAAATATTGAAACTGTGAACAAAGAAAAGAGATTCAGAACAATAGCAGATTGAATATTTTATGGAAGCCAACACGAGAAAATAATAATTGAATTAAATATCAACTGAGAAGATACTTAATAATTTAAGCTATTTAAAACATAATAAGATATTTCACCTGGAATTACAGCAATTGCATAATTATTGAAAAAAAGACTTTACGTTGCTGGAGCTAATGACTTTGCATTCAGCAAATGTAAGGCCAAAATATGTAGTTTTGACATCTGGAAACATTGTTTGGTTTTCCGAATCATCACCTCGCAGGAATAGCTTACGGAGCATACTTTACTAACTAATACTTCTACGTGTAGAAATGAAGTTGTGACCTTACTGTCTTATCATAGCCTTCAGGAATTTTCGTAATTCTAAACGACAAGCGACAGCTGAAATATATCTGAATTTTCTGTAGACTGAATCGACTAAACTGCACAATCGAGGATTAAATGGTGCATATTCCTATCCGACTTCCTTAGCTCAAATAGGATGGCGACATATATCATCAATTATAGAATTTCAATATAATCTAATCTTTATAAAAGCTTCTCGAGCGGAAAATAAGAGTATAATTTTTATCCTTTCTTCATCTTCAGAAGAAAGGGAAGGGATTTTACAAGAGGATGGGTATAAAATCCTTTTATCATAAATGTGTGCGTCTGTTTCTCATCGAACTGATATTACTATGTTAATAAACATATTAGTATGGATGTTTCGTACTTTCATTATTTTGTTTGCTTTCTGTATATTATAAAAAATAATTTCATCAGTGGTCGAGCGGTTAAGACCGCTGAATGCTGGTAATTGGACTCTTGTTCGAACCAAAGTGAATGGGCTGGCTGCATGGTATATTTTAGCGGTTCTTCGGTAACGGACTTAAAACGTAGTGGTGGTACTAAGATTTTTCAGTTTTTGTTTACACGGTACGCATTAGTCAAAAGGTTGAGAACCGCTGATCTAACGTAATCAATTTTAATAAAAAAAAAAATGCTTATTTATGAAGTGAGCAACTGCAATGAAAGCCAAGCAAAAATAGCCCGCCTTCAATACCAGTGCTACTCTGTTTTGAGTACATCTTTCTAGTCTTTTGCTTTCTGTCTGCCGACTTCCGTCTGTTTGGCGACGTTAGTATCTTAGTGCTAAAAAAACACTTATCCGGTTTTATTTCGAATTTCTCTTCCGCACAACGCGTCCAAAAGATGGCTTTCGTTTTGCAATATTATTGCCAGAGGCGGGCTACTTGTGCCCTCGCTATACTATTACATCTATGACATCAGTTTATCAAATCAATCACATACCTTTTTATATTCCATGGATGACAGATTTCGGAGTATGTTGTGACCATCTTGCTGAAACATGGGATTATGATAAAAATATCAGTAATTTATTTAAAAAGAAAATATACGTAATCAAACTTTTAATAGTAAGAATTTAGAACTGAGTGAATTAAGGAAATTCCATAAATTAAAGAAAATTTATAATAAATAAAAAAGTGCATGAAGACGAATGATGAAATTTGGGGAAAATATAAAATGAATTATACACTCTAAAAAGTATGAAACTATTGTTACGAATTTTGTATAAATGTAAATAATTTTAATGAAATACGTTTAACATTTTAGTATTCTTCTATAATGTAACACGAAAGGCTTCAGATTGAAGCTTCACCGGAAAAACAAGGTTGCAGCAAGACTTTTTAATACCCAGGTAAACGTCTACCTCGCCAAACTGACGAGATAGCACCAAGCTGGCAATGGTTTTGGAGACTAATTCTTTTTATCTCCGTGCGAGCTTCGCTATTTAGATGGGCAGTATTTCGCATTGTGTTTAACGTTCTTAGTAGAAGTAGCCACTAATGATAATGCTTTGTCATACTGAGAGCTGTGCGAGTACTTTTGTGGAAAGTTCAAGAACTGTAAAGCGTTTCGTTTAGGAAAATAAATTTTTTCAAGCTATCATCGGTTCTGTGTGCATTAAATCTGTTACGTATCCGTACGCGCGTAATAATATCTTCAGGAAAAAAAAAAAAAAAAAAAAAAAAAAAAGAATCATATAATATCGATGCGGTTTTCAGATAAAAAGTTCTGGTATACAAAAAAATTTGAAAAGGTAAAAAAAGTAAGGAATGCTAAATTCAACCAAAATGAATAAAGCCAATATGGTATCTCTGATCATTCTGAAACACTTTTCAGGTAGTCCTTTTACAAAAGCGATGCTTATTGGTTGTTTTCAAAAATGGCCATCTTAGAAAAGTAATTGCCACCAAAGGTTTTACCGTAAATGGATGTAATGCAAGCTATTTCACATAATTAGTAATTTGATTCACGTGATTGGAAAATGCTAATTCTTCTAGGAATTACTTTGCTTATTTCATAACGAAGATTGCTTAATTTTATGTGAGCTATTGCAATTTTTCTTTAACTCATGAAAACTAATATAAGAGTAATGCTAAAATTACAGGTGATGCTTACTGGTTGTTTGTGAGCAGATACGATCAAAGAGCAGATAATTTTTTAGATTAAATAAAACTTTTTAATCACTGTTATCAACATTTATTTTTGTCCTATTTAACATTTATAATTTCTTTTAAAAAACATATGTTTTTATCTGTTTTAAACTTCATGCCTATGTATGTTATTGAAAATTGACTCATTGAAAACGCATTGAAAAGTTAACTTTTTTAGCAGTGGTGTATCATAAATACCTGCAGAATGGAAACAGTCATATTGAAATGATGGTGTTCCAGAACAGAAGTGGAATATATAGCAGCTAATGGCGATGCTGAATGGACCAAGAACTGGTTTGTTTTTCCTCTGTGATCCAAGTCATGACAAAGGCATGCTACGTATAAAGCCAATTCCTATAAAATTATTGAAACATTTAATCTTTTAAAAATAACTGTAACAATTATTCTTTTAATATGTAAGACTCTCAAAAGAAAAGAATAGAAAATGTTCTTCCTTTGAATTTATTCCAATAACTTTTGCACATAATAAAATTTAGTAACAGTCTTCTGACGTCTCCCCTTTGTCTTTCACCCATTGTTCTAAATACTGACACACTTTACAATTTCCCTTTTGATCTGCTTTAAAAATTAAGATTTTCAAAATTTCCATGTGTTTACTATTCATAACATAGTTATTCTTTTATAGTTTTACCAAGTTTTTTAATATGTTAAGTAGGAAAGTAGTTTTATCACTGAAAGAAAAAAAAGATCAGACGTAGTCGCAGAATAAATAATGACAAATAAGCGAACTTTCGTAGACTAGGACTCATTATAGTATTTCCGTTAGAAATTTTGCGCCAAAGATGTGCATGAGCATTTGAAAGTTGGGTTTGTTCTAGAAATAATGCAATTACACAAATAACTGGAATGTACCTAAAATAAAACTACCTACCTTTTCATTAAAAGTTGCATTTATAAACTAATAAAATTTTGGAAATATATTCAGCACTGTTGCTTTAGGTGAAGACTGCCATTTAACTCCACTTCATTTTTATACATACTAATATAAATGGCAGTCCACGTTGAGTTAAATGGAGTTAAAAAAAAAAGAAAGAACAGTTTTACATCTCTCGTTAGTGAGCCGATTGACGAAATTTAAGTTGCGTTTTTCATGTTTCGAAAGTGCGACTTAAAATATTTATTAAATTTATAAATAGTTTTATTGTAACATAGGTATTTTAACACAAAAATGAGACGTTTAAATGCAAGGTAAGCAAAATGATTCAATATTTGATAGTGGGCATAATTTAAATTAATTTTACTAATGTTTGAAAAACCTATATCTTTTCAGAGAATCTTTAATACCAGTTGATATCAACATCAAGAGTATGCACGGTTATAGAAAAGCAAGAAATGATACAGAATTTTATTCTGTTATTTATATCAGTCAGGTAATATCTCAATTATTCTACAAAATATTAATGGACGTTTCTGTGGATTTTACTTTAATATAAAAATACTTCTTCCCAAAAAGGAAAAAATAAGAACTTTCACGAGTCGTCTAGAAATACACAAGATGTATATAGCAGATTAGTATTTACAAATCTTTGGTGTTTAGCTGATCAGTATTCAAAAGGAGAATTGTTTTAACATTTTGTTCACAAAAGCTACCAATCTAAAGCCTGATGCTGAAATTAATAGCTATTGATCCTATTTCGAAATAACCTTTTTAGGTAATTACGGAAAATCCCGTCGACCACAAGAGACGGCACCAATCGCGCCAAACCAAACCCCCCCCCCCCAAAAAAAAAAAAAAAAAAAAATTTAAAATGTTTCAGATTTTAAATTACGTCCAAAGGGGCGTTTTTTAACATTTTGTGTGTTACCTTTCTTTATTAAATATCATGTTCTCCTCGCACTTAAACCATAAGATCCAGTTGCAACGCAATATCGCAAAATAGTTTAAAACGAGCATATCTTTAGAATTTCCGATAAAGAGACTCACGCGCTGGAGAAAAATGTTTTTCTGCACAACGTTGCCATTGCTCGCTTTGAAATCCTTGAGTTTGTTAATCAAAAATTCGTCAAAGTTTTTAAAATAGGAAATCGATCATAAAACAAATTTCAAATTTCAAATTTGGTCTTCCACATGCTCATATTCGTTGAAGGATTACGTTATTCAAAATTCGATGACTCTATGTACCGTTTTTTATCACAATACGAGAAATATACATACATTTATGCAGATTTTTCATTATTTAATTTCTTCAAATATAATGCAGGACTCTAACATTTTGTGGCAACAGTTTGAAAAATGAACCGACATTTATGAGTCCGACGCAAAATGCCAAAACGAAACTAATAGTCCTTCGGGATTCAAATCCCTTTGGACTAAAAAAAATTACTAAATATAAGAAAAAACGTTCTATTCTTATTTTTCTTTCAAATTTATTATATTATCATTAATTTATATTTAATTTTTCATTAAAATTTCCATTATTTTTTATTAAAAAAATATACTGTAAAGCAATTATTTTCGCTAGGTTTTAATTTTCGCGAGAAAATATAAGTCTCGCGAAATACTTTTTCTTCGCCTCTAGTCTTCGGAGCCTTTCCGAGTGCAGTCAAACATTAAATAGTAGAATCCTCGAACCACGTTCCCTTTCGCATTGACGCTCGCTTCGCACAAGCCACTGCAAATATATTTTTCGATAATTAAAAATGCAAATCCTGTAAAAGTTTTAATAAATTTTAAATATTTTATCAATATTTTGTTTCTACTATTGAGACTCAAAATGCCTCGCAAAGGGCTAGAAATAGCTGATGCATTAGCGTTACTTGAAGAATTAGCTTCAGATCCAGAATTAGTGGTCTCTGAGGATGAAAGTGAGGAAGAAGGAAATATTTCTTTACTCCCCTTCCCTCATGATTACGGAAATATAGAAGACGAAAGTGATAATCAGTCAGAAAGGGATGATATAAATTTACCAGGTCCATCCAGAATTGCACAGGTAACATGGAATAAAATACAGAATGTATTTAAATCAGTTCCCGAATTTTCTGAGGATTATGGGCCAACTGACGAAATTTCCTTTATGCAAGATGTAAAAACCCATAGATATATTTATGTCTTTTTTACTGCTGAATTCTTGGATAAATTAGTTTTTGAAACTAACTTACATGCAATTCAAAAAGGTAAGACGTTTTCACCTATAACTCTTCATGATATGTTGAAATTTTTAGGGATAAACATTCTAACGGGAATTAAAAAACTCCCAAGCTATCGGGATTTCTGGTCAACTAATGAAATACTGAATGAATCTTATGTGACAAAGCAAATGGCAGTAAAGATATTTTTTCAGGGATTTTAGGCAATTTGCATTTGAACGATAACAGCCTTATGCCAAAAAGAAAGGACAAAACGTATGACAAACTTTATAAAGTTCGCCCTCTAATGACTCATTTGTCGGAAAGATTCGATAGATCGAGGAAAAAAATCAGTCGATTGACGAATCAATGATTCCTTTCAAAGGTAAAAATTTCCTAAAACAATACTTACCTAAAAATCAATAAAACGAGGATATAAGGTGTGGATGTGTTTCGATGAAAGCAGCTATGGTTGTAAATTTGAAATTTATACTGGTAAAACCCACGAAGTCGAAAAAAATCTGAGTGAAAGAGTGGTAAAAATGCTAAGTGAGTCCTTGTATGGTAAACATTCTAGAGTATACATGCACAATTATTTTACATTCTATGAACTTTTTAAGTTTTTAGGAACGAAAAACGTATTTTGTTGTGGAACTGTAAATATAAAAAGAAAAAAATACCATGCCAAAACACTGATGGAAGATAAGAAATTAAAACGGGGTGACTTCGACTGGGCAGTAAGTAATGACAAAATAACTTTTCTAAAATGGAAAGACAAAAGACGTGTTACCATTTTATCTAGCCTAGTTGATCCCGTTATTCTATCTACTGTAGAAAAGGAAGAAAAATCCGGACAGAAAGTTCAGGTACAATGTACAAAGGCAATTATACAATAAAAATATGGGATATGTGGACTACTTTGACCAACTAAAAAGCTTATATGAAATTGGTAGAAAAAGTAAAAAATGGTGGCATCGAATCTTTTTTCATTTTATTGATGTCACCTTTATAAACGTCTTCATTGTATGCCGAATGCTTCCAAAAAGTGACCCCAGTTTAAAAATACTCAAGGCTTTCATAATGAATATAATCAGTAGTGTAATGCAAATGGGAAACGAACCAAAGTGAAAGAGATCAAGGTCTCCCTTTTAACATAAAAAAACCATAAATTTCATTTGCCAGATGAAAAGAGACTAAAGAATGCAGAACATATGCCAGTAAAATGCAAATCCCGGCGGTGTACATTTTGTAGCACAAGGAAGAAACCACATAAAACAACATATATGTGCGAAATGTGTAGTGTTTGTTGGTTTATGCATTTATCAAAAAGAAAAAACATGCTTTGAACAGTTTCATAAAATTAACTATGTTCTTTGACATGTAAAAAAATCACCGAATTTTTTAATATTCTATTGAGTTTTTTATCTATTTATCCCAACTTCCTTATTATGTGCGTTATGTTTTCACTGCTGTAGAAAAATTACATAAACGTTTAATTTCTTTTATGACTTACTTTATGAAATAAAGTAAAAAATCTACATATATTGCTATTTTTAAATGCAATTTTTTTTTAATTCGCAAATTTCTTCATTCATTGGAAATGTGCACGGTAAAAGGTAAGTTGTTTTTTCCTACTAACTCAGTCAGTTTCAAAGTCCTAGACGCGCGCTGGTTTCACTATGGAGGTAGGAAGTAAGATGGAGTCGCCCTAAAACTTCTCCTACCCTGCTCTGAAGCACCGGCGTCCCACTTGGCCAAAAATTGGATCATTTACCATTGATTCTATGGATTTGACGCGTTCGGATGTAAATATTTTGCCGCGCAATATATAAAATGTATATATTTTCTTTTCTTAACCACTTCAGAGTCCTAAGTATGTGAAAACAACATATTTTTAAACAACTTCATTCTGAAACGGAATTACATGCTATACTTTTACAGGACATTTTTCTCAGAATGGTTTAATTTGAATGAAATATTTCACAAGTTTTCGTTAATTACATTAGAAAAAAAAATTAGGTAATTCGATTTTAATTCGGTTAAGTACAAAAATTAGATCAAGTTTATTGTATTTTAATATTAAAATTATGCATTATTTCCTCTCTATTTATAGAGCTCTTTCCTAAATACTTTTAAATATGACATGATTTTTTGGCTTCTGAGGCATCTTTTAAATCGAAAATGTAAGTCAATTTATAATTAATGCTCTATTCGTTCATTTTAAGAGTATTAGGATTACGCGAAATCTTTAAATAGTCTTGACTTCTCTGACTTTCTTGCAGTGAAAAATAATTTTTCTTTTTTAAGTATTATTTAAACTTGTAACTGAGTTATTATAAATGTAAGGTAAATCTTTAATATACTTATCTCAGATTTTGTTTTTACTCTTCATTTCAACAATACATTCCAAACTCTTTATTACGTTCTGATCGACCATTCATGATCGGCCTCCTTTGGCAGATACCATGTTTTCACCTGCGTCGATTACCCTATTTTCAAATTCTTAATAACTGTCTTGATGATGTAGCCTTCACTGGTCACATCATCTTGACCGCACCTGTACTTTCCGCCAAATTCGCAAATGTATCCCTCTTCTGTTCCACACTTTGTGTAAAACTGTACTAATTTTACACAAATGTGTGGTCCAAATCAAGGGAAGCTAACTTGTTGGCATATATATCTGTGGTGTATATTTATTAATTTGACGAGGATTGCAGCATTTGATGGTAAATTTTTTTTTATTAACCCAAAAAAACGTGTAGCTCAAAGTGATTATTTTTCAGATATATAAAATTAACGATGGGTTTAAAATGAGCAGCAGTAAAGCTCTCCTCTAAAAAATTTAAAAGGTACATGTTACATAATATATGTATGTGAAAAAATTTGTTTTATTTTAATATTTTGACGTTTGGAAAATAAAATAACAGTAGCGAATATTCTATCAAGGGTACTCGCAGGGATACATTTTAAATGTACCGTAAGGTATTTTTACATTCTTTAACTAACATTTTTCTTAAAATCTATATTTTTTGTAGTGCACAGCTTAGAATTTTATAAAACAATCATAATCAAAATCCTGTTTTTGATTATCGAAAAATAACCAGATGTGATTTTTGTAAATGTCACTAAACTATACAAATTCTATTATCCATCACCTATGAATGTTTCTTTCGCGAAGTGTCCCTTTTTCGATTTCTATGGAACTGTCGTGTGTCGAATATAATCAGAATCTTGTCAAGCGAGCTTCTGAATGTAACAAAACACCTCATCTATGCCCAAGCTTCAAGCATGCTTCACTTTAGGGAGAGGGTTGGGTCTCCCTTTCCTACCATGGTTCAACTGAAGTAAGAACGAGTTGCCCTAACAAGTTCTCCATACCCTGCTCTGAAGCACAACCGGCGATCCCTACGTGGTGACCAAAACATTGGGTCATTTACCATTGAGTTCTATGGGATTTGACGCGTTCGGGTGTAAATATTTTGTAATTACGTCGCAAATATACATATAAATGTATATATTTTCTTTTTCTACAACACTTCAGAGTCCTAAGTATGTGAAAACAACATATTTTTAAACAACATTTCATTCTGAACGGAATTAAATGCTATACTTTTCACAGGACAGTTTTCTCAGAATGGTTTAATTTGAATGAAATATTTTCACAAGTTTTCGTTAATTACATTAGAAAAAAAAAATTAAGGTAATTCGATTTTATTCGGTTAAGGTACAAAAATTAAGATCAAAGTTTATTGTATTATTAATATTAAAATTATGCATTATTTCTTTTCTATTTATAGAGCTTCTTCCTAAAATACTTTCTTAAATATGACATGATTTTTTGGCTTCTTTTAAATCGAAAAAATGTAAGTCAATTTATAATTAATGCTCTATTCGGTTCATTTTAAATTAGAGAATTATTAGGAATTAAATAGTATTTGACTTTTTCTCTGAACATTTCTGAAAGGGAATAAAATAAGTTTTTTTTTTTTTTTTTTTTTTTTTAAGTATTATTTAAAACTTTTAACTGAGTTATTATAAAATGTAAAGGGAATAATTTCTTTTAATTATACTTATCAGATTTTTTTTTTTTTCCCCTTCATTTCAACAATACATATTCCAAAACTCTTTATTACGTTCTTAAGTGCGCATCTCATAGCATTTGCTTTACAATACCTTTTAACAGATTGCTTTCCAATACGAACAATTCTCTGCTTAAATAGTTTTATAACGTATTTGTCAACAGGATTTCAATTTATGTTTACAATTCAATATTAAGGTTATTATATATTTAGATAACATTTATAATCATTATAAATTAGATACATTTAATCATTAGATTTCTTCACAGTACTTTCACAGTTGTTTATAAGTGAATAAATTCTTCATTTCAAATACATTTATAAATAATTTAATGAATATTTAAGTATTTTGTCAAAGGCAGATACATGCTTTTTGCAAGCACATGCATAAATACCCATACATATTTCCTATTTATCATTTCCGGCATGTGCAAATCTTTAATTTCTGTGCATTCACTATATTTTTCGTGTAAAGTAATTTACACTAATTTAGCAGCATACACCCGAAAGTTTTACATAAAAAATATATATGAATATAATTTGAATGAAAATTATAAGTATTATTTTTAATACCCACTCAAAGGTCAGTTTTTCTTCAAAATTCCTCCACGATGGCATCTCTCTCTTTAGGCAGAGCCTCTCTATTTTAGCAGATTCGCGGAGCCTCTGCATTTACCGGCTAATAGCCCTTGCATGCGTTACTCTATTTAAAAAACTTAATCTGACCTATGTGCCTAATTACAAATATTTTAACATACATAATTTTTATATTTACATTTAGCCATCAAGTTTCAAACTTTTCAAATCTTCTAGAAAATAATTTTGGCAGATCTCTTTTAGCAATTTTCTTAAAATCTATATTTTTGTAGTGCAACAGCTTAGAATTTTATAAAACAAATTCATAATCAAAATCGCTGTTGTTAGTTATCGAAAAATAACCAAGATGTGATTTTTGCGTAAAATGTCAGTAAACTATACAAATTGCTATTATCCATTACACTATGAATGTTTCTTTCATGCGAGAGTGTCCCTTTTTCGATTTCTATCGAACTGTCGTGTGTCGAAATACTATCAGAATCTTGTCAAGCGAGCTTCTGAATGTAAACAAAGAACACCCAGTCTGGTGACCCAAGCTTCAAAGCAGTGCTTCACTTCTAGCGCGGAATGGCCCCTCCTCCCTTTCCTACCTCCATGGTTTCACAGCGAGATCACCCCCCACAGATCAATGGGCGAGAGCAGATTTTTTTAAAAGTCATATATTATTTGTCTCTAGGATTCGATTTCTAGAGTTTTTTAGTCAAAACATTATAAAAATAATATCGCGTGCATCGAAGGGTTAAAAAACCTTTGGAAATATTCAACAGCATGCTCTTTTGTAATAGGCAGGTCCCAAATTTTAATCACTTTTTTTTTTTTCGAAAATGCGTGATGGGGGGGGGAAGGAGTCTTTACCAAGAATAATAACTAACACGTGAAATCAAGGTTACGCCAAAACCAGCGTGTTTGAAGAAGACTTTTGCATTTTTGGCGAAAAATCGCGTAGTTTGGCGTCTTTTCATTAATAAGCAAAAATGGTCGACGGGATTTTTCGTAAGTATCAATTTTTATTATATGACAAAACTTTATTTTGATCTATACTTACTTCGAGAGGTCTGAAAACTTCACTTTTTTTAATGACGACATAAACGGAGTTTGCGACCATGAATCCATGCATCCAGTTGTGGTAAGGAACTCGTCTGTAATTCTTCCGGACAGTCAAAGTGAAGCGAACGAGAGAATCCAAATCAATATTCGCAAAACTGAAACATTATAATTGGTGCTTATTCTAACACGCATGTGCTAAATACTATTTAACTTATCATGTCTGAACTAAATTTATACCAAAATTTTAAAAAAGACTTTTTGAATAAATAATTAGCAACATATAGCAGAAACTTCGATTTACTCGAATTTTAGTAATTTTAATTTTTGGCATGTCAAACTTTTGAACCCCTAAATGTATTAAATTCAGTGCTAACGTTTTTCATTGATAGGAATTTATGAATGTTTTTTTACTGGAAACTTCTTCTACCACCCCTTTAGTTTAAATTTGCTAAGATTTTTAAACTGACTAAGATTTTTTAAAGTTTTTTTGGCTGTCTATCAGGAATTTGGGTTGTTATTAAGAAATTCAGCTGCAAGTTTTTATTATACAACCCTGATGAATCTTTAATCATATGAACTCTTGTACATTTATAATACTCATGGTTTTAGAGTTTGTAGCATATGCAAGTAGTAAATTTAAATGTTTTCAGGGAAATTCATTACCTTCCAACTTTTGGAAGATCCGTGAGCATAAATATGGAGGTGAAAACTTTTTCATCTGAATTCAGAACAGCGTGGTTAAAGTTGAATCTACAAGAAAAAAAAAAAAAAAAAAAAAAAAAAAACCTGTATTATTAACTTATAAATGCTGAACAAGCATGAATTCGTTCTTCAAAGAGATAAAATTTAATAGTTTTATACTTTTTATAATAACAATCCCTTGCTATTTTTTATTGAAGTAATACATTTTTTAATTTTATAAATTTTTGGTAGCATTCTTAAACGAAAAATGAATTAAAGTTCGCTTTAAAAACACATTACAATAAAATGATTTTCTGGAAATCCTTAAATATAAAACATTCCCATACCATTCATATATATATTGTACTTAAAAACACCACTTCATTATTAATTATCAGGAAAACTTTTAATGTGTTAACATCAGAATTTTCTACTTTTATAAATGATATAATTTATTTTTCTTTGTTACTGAAACGGTAGTTTATAAAGATTTAAATCTGAAAGCAAAATCAGATTTTTACTGCGAACGTCTTCCATCTCTTAGCTTTTACAACTGTCAGCAATTTTAAATAAATTGTTCCCTTTTCCAGAGCGGTGGGTTACCGGTGAAGAGAATATCTTTCAGGCTCTCTGTTAGGCAAATTTTAACCGAAAACTCTTGCACTTATGACTTTCGTCGCAGGTTATGTATCTAAGTAAGTAAACTGGTCTTAAATTTATATTTGTATTTTAATACACGCTAGTAGTATATGGTTTCTTATAAAAAGCAAGCTTTGCTTCTCTACAACTGATATATTTAGTTTTTATGATGTCGTTAACTTTTCAAGGCATGGCATCCACAAAAGATTTTCGCAATCTCCATTCTAAACGATTAATCCTCTATTCGGTATGCTATCTAATTCATCTCTGCTTTCAACAAAATATTAGCTGTTAAGTAATCACTACTTTATTACTTTCTTTTCTTATTTTTTTTCCAATTTTTTTCCAAATAAAACATGGCAATGTTTTCAGCATATCAAAACTAGTAACGCAGAATTATTGCTACTTCCTTGTTAAAGCCACCACGTTTAATCGCCAATGTTGCCTACTTTGTTAACATCCAAATTTCAAATATAAACGAAGGCTTACGTGCTGGCCGCTTTAATAGGAAATACCAAGCTAGTTATTTAATATTATCATAACGATTTTAATGGTGTAGAAATATAATTCAGCCAAGCAAATATATTAACCACTTACTCTTTGAGATCTGCTTTATCGATAGGCAGCTTGATATCTCTAATGGCGTTCATTTCTTCCTCGCTGCATGTGTTATGATAAGAAAGTATCTCGAGGGCCACTTTGTGCTTTTGCTCCGATCGTCGAATTTTGTCATATAGCTACCATAGCGAAATAGTTATCCATTAATAATAAATTTCAATAAATGCTTACAGCATTGCACTTAAGAAAATTTGATTCAAATATATTTCTATCTAATCATAATTTTATAAATCGATTTATGATTTTAATTTTTCTCTTAATTTCTCCATAAAATAGTAAGAAATACAGTTTTTCTGAAAGGCGTTAATATTATATTATGCAAGTAAATATTTGCTTATTGAGGCTTAAAATAAATTTCTTTGAGCGCGTTTAAGCAATAGGCTCAGAATTTCATTTTCTAGTAAATAAACCAATAAAATTTTTTAAACGGTCTTTTTAGAACTTTGAACTAGTTAATAATTTTTTTGTGTTAAATTTCTTAAAATTTTAAACGGATGAAAAAGGAGGCTTTAAAGAATAAAATGTTTTTCAACATATTCTGAAAAGCTGCATATTGCTCCGCCGTCAAGAGCTGTTACGGTTAGCTAAGAGTATTATTTTTGACGACGGATTTTAAACTATTTTATACGATTTACTTTACAGTATAATTTTCTATATATCTTATTTTATTAAGTACTAACAAACATTTGCTGAATTGCAAATAAACGGTAATTACTACGAATTAATAATTTATTTCTCCATACGGAGCTTTATAAATTGAAGACTTTTATTCACAGCTTTAAAAGTTATCTCTGGTATCAAGTAGAAAACCTAATTTTTATTATAGCTAAAAATTAGGAATGAGACTTTAGAATTCTTGAATCTAACCTATCTTGATAAAGCTTCGAGATGCGAAAACTTAAATCTCCTCAATTTTTGCGTTTATTCCAATTTTTCTACTGTTAAACCGCTAAATATTTTAATTCAAACTGATAAAGATTTCCTCAATTTAAAAACCGTTAAACATATTAATTCAAAATTTCTTTACGTTTGACGTTTTATTGACAGTCAGTAGAAGCTTTTATTAAGAAAGAACAACTTTTGTTGAATTTCAATAAACCAGTATCACCGTGTAATGGCCGTGATTGCAATGCTCTTAATTCCTTAAAAGACCCTAAAGAATTTAGACCTTAAAAGAATTTAGCTCTCAATTTTTAATTTTTACCCATACTGGAATCATCTCTCCTTTACTCTTGCTTTGATTTAAAAATATTTTGAAAAATGAACTACCTATTTGAACTGTTAATCAATTTTTTCCGAATTATACTACGAAAGTGTACATCAAGAGTCAAGAAATTTATTCATTTATCCTACTTCATCTACATAATTTAATTTGTATTTTTGTAACAAAACTAGGCGTATTTGAAAAATTCTTAAATTCATTTTTCATTAAATGCAGGTTTCATTTTTTGCTTTAATTTAAGTTTTAATATTGAGCAAAACTTTCTTCTCCTTCTTATTATCATTATTTCATGAAGGATTTTAAAAATTGGAGGATTGAAAAATATTCCAGCACATTTTAAGTTTTGCATCCAAAGCAGTTCAGGGATTTATCTTATTTTCTTTTATAAAAACAGAACCTGAGAGAGTGAATATGTCCATGTTTTCATATGCGTTTTGTTTCGACAATACGTTTTACTTGCCGATTGATACATAAATGAAGAATTAAAAAAATATATATATAATCTGTTCTTCGTATTCAAATTACAAATTTAAAATCTGAAGCAATTTTTAAGTTAAATAGTTACACTCTGCATGTAAATTTCCATAAAAGCTTAAGGAAATCAACATACAAAACATAAAATCATATACATGGAACGACCTGCTCAAATCATCAGTGTAAAATTAAATGAAAAACCTCTGTGTCATATTATTCTATTATAAACTAAGATTACTTCAGAATTTTTGAAGTAATTTAATAAATCACTTCAAAAATTCTAAATTCCTTTTCTCCTAAATTGCTAGCTCACGAGACTTACAACGAATATGTCTGTAAATTGAAGTAGCAACAATATGTCTTTTTCCAGAACGAAATTTTAGAAATAAAACAAAGACAGATTTATCGACGAAAGCAAAAGGATCATCTAAAAAATCTACGAAAAGAACTTCTCACAAGTATTGCTTCAGCCGGTGTTTGTGAGAAAAGTTAAAAAAAATTAGAATGTTGAGACACAAAGAGACTCACATTTGTTTTCGGGCAAGTGTGTTTTTAAATTTTATTTGCAAATATCAGTTACTAAATATTAGCAAAATGATTTTATTTTTCTTTAATGTATAATATTGATCATCTGTTTCAACACACGCTTATTTTGAAAAACGTTATTCAAAACGTTTTAAAAAGATTTCAAATAATTCTGAAAATGAACTCTTTGAATAAACAGTTTATATTTAATAAAATTAGGCAAATAAGGGGACGTTCAATATATTGTTCGATGTCCTTTAGCCATAATGACATTTTTCATACACTTTAGCACAGCTTCAACTAATTTTTTTTTTGTGTAAGAATTTTCTATTTGTTCCATTTCTACGGGATCGAAAATGTGATTTTAGTAAAGTGTCATGTTTCCTTATTCTTTTCTCTAACTTACTCCATATATGTTCTGTAGGATTTAAGTCCTAGCAGTATGGAAAAGTTTTGACAATTGGACAAAGCAAGCAATTATTTAAGACTGTATGTTTAGGATCGTTATCTTGATAGATATTGAGTATTTTACATTCCAAGTTTGCAGCAGATGCTTTTGGATTTTCATTAAGAATAAATATATATTTATATTAATCCATATTAATTTCTATAAACAGTATATTTCTTATTCTAAAGGCAGCAAAAAATTTCTAAATCAATACGCTTTTTCCCCTGCGTATAATTGTAAGCAATAGGTTTTAAGAATTCAGCTCTTAATTCAGCTTTTATCTCATATTAATTTATTTATCGGACCCAAATATATTAAATTTTGATTATATTGTTCCAATATAATATAACTTTGCTTACTACAGATTTTACGAAAGCCAGGCGTATTTTCTGTTTTTTTGTTGATAAAGAATTTCCTTCTTGAGGATCGCCCGTTACATTCATGAGTCCTAAATGATTCTTCCAAAAAGCTTCAAGGTTAACTTTTACTGGAAACCTTTCTTCTTAATTTGCAGAACGTTTTACATTACTACTTTTTGTGTCTTGTCTGATTTTCGTAGAATAAACCTGATTTCCATACATTTATCTTGGAATGTGGTCTAGACTTCAATGTATTTTCAACGGTTCTAAGCAATTTCCATCTTTTTATTGCATCAGCAGTAGTTAAACGCTTTACGTCAAAGATTGTCTGTATATACTGAATACTTTTACCATCTTTAGAAAGATGAATTTCTAAATTTCTATCAGAATTTGACATGTGTTTGTAGTTTCTTGCCATGTTTACTTCAGATATAGAAAATTAGTATATTTTGTTAAACAAGTAATATTTTCCAAATCTTCTTGTGATCTATTTTCATTTAAAATTAAAAACACAATTAGAAACATTGAAAAAAACTTCTCAACAAGAACTTGGAGTGTCCAAATTATTATGTGAGTTTTGATGAACACATTTCGAATACATTATGTTATTGTAAGAATATTTTGATGATATTTATTTTAAAATAGTCAAGGCTTAATATGGAGAATGAGTAATATATTAGAAAAAATTTGAAGTCTATGTTTTGATATTTAGGACAAGATCTATGCAAATGAATTACAAAGATACAAGTGCCCGAAAACAGTTATGAGCCACTATATGCTAATGACAAATCGCTTTCAGAAAAATAGAATGGATTTGATAGCAGTGAAGTTAAGAACCCTTTAATGACGCCAAACCTCAAAATATTTAAAAACTCTGTCTGAATTTATTTATTTATCTGAATTTAGCACTGAAGAAGGAAAAGGTAGCAGTCATAATTACACACAATTTATATATAGCTAATTATTTAAGGATATTAATAGAAAATAAAACATTTACACTTACCTTTGCATGGTGCAGTGCCAAACCGCAGTAAATAGCGAATGTGGCAAAAGCTTCTTCGTCGCTTTTCGTGAAAGGGCCATTTACTTTGTTCACCATTTGTACAACGCCGATTACGCTGAAAAAAAAAAAAAAGCTTTTAATGTTTACTTTTTGCAGGTAGTATATACGTGTAAAGGTCAACGGGCATTGATAAATACTTAAACACCAACTCCGGTAATGCATCGATGGTATACTTATCGACAGACAAGAAGATTTTGTATAAAGAACTAGATGAAAGCCATACTTTACCAAATTTTTTTCCGGGGGGGATCCATAAAATAATATTCATTTGTAAAAAGTACTTAAATCTCACGTTCTTATAGATCCTTTAATTACCTTTTATAATGCGGAGACAAAGGTGCGGCACTTGCCTCATGTGAACGGCTAGGAGGTACGGCAAAGTAGGAGCGAAGTTTTAGAAACACATTTAAAATATATGTTATGAAAAGTAACTTTAAATTTTGAAATGTATCCAAATGTACCATTTCAACCTCTTCGTCGTCCGTAACGCGTCTAGCGTGTTCAAGTGAAACTTCTGCAGGGCGGCCGTAACGCCCCTCAAGCGTTCTTCTACATTATTACCTCCTAGAGGGTAGCACTAATCAGGCATTTTAGTTCTAATTGAATTTGCCCGGGTTTATGAATATTCGCGCCATTTTACATAAGACAGCGAGAGATGGGTTCAACGTCTACTCAGCAGAAAAAGAGAATGAGGTTGTGAATTGGAAAGACAAGACGGATATACGTTTGATGAGTACAGTCCATAATAACTCGATGATTGATGTTCGAACACAGAACTGTAAAAAAACCAATAATTGTAAAAGATTACAACAACAAAATGGGAGGAAAGGACCGCCTGGATCAGATGTTATCAAATTATCCTGCTGTTAGAAATAAGCAGAGATATTATTATTTTTCCATTATGCTTTATTTCCTTATAATTTTACTTAATATTCATTGACATTCATCCACTACGAAAGTTATGATGTACAGAGAAAGCAACATTACATGCTACGAAAAACAGACGGCCGCTGGGGGGGGGATTTTTGCGGACAGGAGAGGACGGCGAAAGGGTTAAAATATCAAATTTAAATCAATCAAAAGGGCGTTATATTCTTGAGCAATTGCGCAACTCGCGTATTTTCTTTAAACAATTAGCTAAATCAAACTTAATTATTTATTAACAATTTAATACTTAAAATAAGATAAACTCCACATATTTTATATAATTTTCTACTCATTACTTTTACTTTATGCAGAGTATAAACTGATACAAGGCATCGAAAGATAAATCATTACAAACAGGTTGAGCTTAACAACCTGTTTAACCAAATTAATTTAAACTTTTATGCATGTTCTCGAAGAATTCAGTACTGCAAGAAAAAGTAAATAAATTAAAGTAAAATAAATTAAAGTAAATTAAAGTAATTAAAGTAAAATAAAGTAAATAAAGTAAAATAAAAGTAATTAAAGTAAAATAAAAGTAATAAAAGTAAATAATTTAAATAATAAATAAGTAAATGTAAATAAAGCCTTGTGATAAAAAATTTTAACTGCACATAAAGCTGGGTGGCTAATAGAAGAACTAACATAATTCGTATGCTACATTTCTATTACGTAGGTATAGGTACAAGTGTGAGTGACAGCAGCAATGTACCATGGATCAGCTAATAATGCCTTCCCATACTAACAAACTCTAAAAAAAAGTTGCAAGCTTTTATCGGAGTTTACAAGAAAGGGTTGAGGAAACGAGCAACCGAAGCTTTTTAAGGAAGGATCTATATTTTACCTATTACGTGCAATCCCATCTTACGCCCCGCATCCAGTAGTTATTAAAAATAATGATTTAGGACATAAAGAGATTACAATATAGTTTCAATATAATTTAAAATTCATAAATTAAATTGAATATCTGCTTTGGTGTAACAAAAATAGTAGATAAAAACAATGATATTAAATATAATAAGTACTGGGAATACAATATCATCATGAACTGTAATAATAATACTAAAGAGGTATCCATAAGGTTATTACAATTATAAAAGGTTGTTACACTTTATAAAGTTCACAAATGGAGTCCTTTTAAATATATTCACAGTATGTAAAAGTTCATTAAATTTACGCAGTATAAGAACTTAACACTTGACAAAGATCTAGGCCGTAGGAAGAGAGTCGTTGCATAATTTTTTGAAACTTCCGATACTGATGTTTATTTTAAAGTAGAAACCTTTGGAATGCCAGAAGATCAGTTCGTGGGGATTTTATGTGATTATACTCAGTTAAAGGGAATGAGAAAGTGCAATGGTAAGGAGCTCTCTGATCCCCACCATATGTAAGTGTCGGAATTTGCCATTGCGTAGAATTATGTGGGGAAGTGTCCATGTCTTATTTTGTAGCAATATAATGAGGGATTCGAGTACAGAGATGTGGAGCTTACATTGGGAATCAAGTTATATGTACTACGTCTTTCCTGTGAAGCATTATTTCACAAATCTTGCAAATATTTTAAGTTGGTTTAGATGCTACTTGAAATTTGAGAGACACCATGGAAGGGTGATTTCAGTACCATCTTGATTGCTGTTGCTTTGATTAATTCATCTGCCTGATCAGCCAGAACGGCCACTATGTCCTTTGATCCATGAAATCTAAATTTTGTACTTTGGAATTCAAGCAAGAGAAGAATTTATGCCGAAAATCAGTGGTGAGGTAGGTAAAGGATATTTAATCGCTAGAATAGCTGCTTGGGAGCCAGATTTATGGTGAATTCATTGGGAATTTTGAGAATTTTTATTTCAATCGCTGCTTTTATGGCTATTACTATTATGCATTACTATTATTCCCAATTATTGTAATTAAAATGAAAGAGGCTTCAGAAGAACTAATAAAAAATGGAGAATTTTCCTTTGGTCCTCGAAAACACCTTTCAAATATCACTGTTTTCTCTATTACATTTCAATATTCTCTCTTTCGATTGTCGATTTCACTTCGATAAAATCAAGGATAAAAATGCTTGAATATTAATGCCATATTTTTATGATATCTTATTATTTCGGTGTTATTGTCTCTTTATCAAAAAGTGGCAAGTTTAATCAAACAGTTTACTGTTTTCATTTAAAAATTATAATTTGCTGTATGTGTTATTGTTTATTCTATATTTTTAAATGCATAAAATTATTTTTACAAATATTATAAGAGTTATGATGTGATAAGTATATTTAATTTTGCTGAATATTAAAGTGTAGAGATGTAGTTAACTTGACTACACAGTTAAGGCGAGCATTTACCTTTTTGCCTCAGGTGGTATTTTCCTTTTTTCTTTTTTTTTCCGATATTCTTTTGCGCTTACCCTTAAACCTCATTCCTTTTTGCGTCACCTCTTTAGTGTCACAAAGTTATTATTTTAATCAGAAAAGTCGCAGTATTATTTTACAAACATCCTTTCTTCCTACCAGATGTTCAAATTTCCATGCCTTTCACGTATTTTTCAAACACAACCCGCAGCTTGCTTTTTTTCAAGTATTTCTCTATATATGGAATCTAAGTAATTAATTTTAATAACAAAATTTCTCAAAATAAGATAGAAGACTTTATGAGAATATGTTTAGCACAGTAGGTAGAACAATATTAAAAATACAAAATTTAATTTTTTATTTGATCCTCATACACTAAATTTTCAAATTCGCAAAATGTTTATTTCTTTTAATAAATTTAAAGACAGATATTTCATGTAAAATTCTTCACAAAACAAATTTGGTGATTTTTGTCATTTTTCAATGCTAGTTTTCTAACAGAATTAAATATTCACCTAAACGTTTCGGAATAAATGAAATCTCACTACATTTTTTAAAGAACACAAAATGGGTAAAAGAACATTTTTCGTATTTAGTACATAATGGCTATTTGACATATTAAAATTTTTATCCTGCTAAGACTGCAAAAAAAGTTGAAATTTTTTATTTATAAAACTGTTCTAAATCTCCTCTGAAAACTGTTCTGTTAAAATTCTATACCATAGTTTGAAAAATTATGCAATGAGAAACAACGTGTAAGATATATAAGGAATGGTGTGTATGATAAATGTTTAAAGAATTCGAGATATTGCCTGCAGCCAGTCTCACGATCGACTTTTATATATTCTTCGGTTGCCTAAAATCGCATGACCTATTTTTTTCTGTACGTTCAACTCTGCTGCCCCAACAATACCAAGGCTACGTTTCTGTCTTATTTCATCGGTAAGATGAAACCTTTTGGAGGTTCTTGCACTTCAAGAATTTCTAAAATAAGGTTGCTATTTGAATTTAGTTCATCGTTATTAAGCCAGGATGTCTTAGAATCATGAAATATTCAGTCTTAAACTGGGGTCATTGCCTTTCACCTTTGTTTTAGGTTAAATTTTGATGAAACGTGTCTGGTTGTGGGAGGTTTCATGGTCTTCCTTCTGTGTAGTGAAAATATGAGTTAGATTTCTTTCAAGGTCTAATTATCCAAAGTTTAAAAGTTTAAATTTCAGACGAGTTTCGAAAAGTTTCATTCTACATGATAAAATCTGACATATTATTTTTCTGGAATAAATGCCTGAATTTTGCTTTATGCATTCGGAATTTTGCGAATTAAAATACTCACAATTACAACAAAAGTAATAGCAATAATAAATTAAATAAATGTAGCTGAATAGATTTCATGGAATCTTCATTTTCCTTTGCCTTTTAAAATGCATGCTGCAAATCGTAACTAATACCTAGCAACCTAAAATTTTAATGAATCATACCTTAACATACTGAACCCTTAATAAGTCTCCTTGTGCAAATCTGTGGTAACTATCGAATGCGGTCAGCGAAGTAGTTTCTATTCATCAATGAAGCCCTCTACTGCTCATAGTACTATCAGAATATGGACAGAATTAGGATGCAACACACAGTTTAATATCTGAGCCCAACATTTACGGATACTTCTTTGGCAGTAAGAAAGAAAGATTCCATCACCAATCCTACGTACTCTTCAATAACGTGAGGGCCAAATGTTATTATGCTGACTCATACTGATTGGAACAAAACTGATCTGTCTTACAGCAGATAAAACTTCGTTGCCTCAGACTTCAATTAAGCCTTAATGATACTACCACAATCGCTATTCAAGTTTTTTAAACATGCTTTAGAGATGCATACCAACATCCCCTTAATCTGAGTTATTCCAGAGAATGCTGAGAATACACATGCTTTCCTTCAACCGCACACATCATCAACACCTCTCGTTATAGAGAGACCATGGTGGTAGGAAGCGTCCACTACATGAGACTTTTCTACCTTCATAATAACTCCTTTTTTACGTACTTTCATGGTAGTGACTGCTTTCAATACGTCACAAGCAGACCCTTGGTCCTACACAACTTTATTATTATCTGCTAGCGTATGCGCAATCTATAGTCTCTTCCAACGATATTTCCCTTACTTTACAACCGAAGTACGTATACTACCCATCAGTAAATTCTTTGCTCCTGAATTTGATGATAGAAACTAGCACAATTCCTTTGGTTTACAGAATGTGTGAAAAATTTTTTTAGATCATTTTAAAATTCCATATGTAATGTACATAATTTGATTTATATTAATATCATCTGAAGTCTAAAGTACAGATCTAAAAGCAATGAGCAGAGTCTGATTTTCCATGAAAGCATTTAAAATTATTTAATTTTAATTTTTATTGGATAATTGTCTTATTTTTGGAAAGTAAACTAAATTAATCCAGAGGAAGGAAAAATATTTAAAAAGCGCTTATAATAAACCATGTCCTTTTGTAAGCAATCCCTCTAGATTTCAATTAATTGCTTTGGTGAGAGGTTTTGTTTTACCTTAAACGGAATTTGTTATTTAATCATTTGTATATGCTGAGTTTGACATGTGCTCATAGTTTAATTTCATCCAGAATTTTTGAGTAATGTTACTTATTTGAGTAATGAGTAACATATGTATGTGTTTCCTAAGAATGCATCGTACAGTGAAATTTAAGTTAAGAAAAATAATTTTAATTTCAAGTTCTATTTTTTTTTCTCTCTTACTTCCATTTTTTTTCTGACTTTCCTGTTAAACTTGCTGAGTTCATCCCCTTTATCTTCTAAACTAAGTGTTGAGAAACCTAGTGAACAGTTAAGCGAATAATCGCTTATGTCCAAGAAGAGAAACGTAAACTCAAGAAAGGTTAATTACTCTTTGTTTGTTCCAAATAAAGACATAAACACGGCCTCTTTCTCAGGGCGTACAACAAAGCCTCCATTTGGGCTTAACTTAAAATGTAAGAAATAAGAACTAACTAATGACTAACTAAAGAGATTTAGCCGAAGCTAAAATAATTCTAACCTAATTAGACATATGTTAAACTAGTCAGAAAAGCTATCAAAAGGCATGTAATACGGCCGAGCGTAAATAACAATTAGATAGACGTAGCCAAAAGGGAAACGAGCGCTATTCAGGAATCATAACTCTCTTTCTCACTGGAACTTTGACTTAAATGCTTTCTACTTCTCATTTGCATTTAACGCCGTTCTAAAGACTCATTCTGGTAAAGAATTGTAAGCTGATTCTAGAGGAGCTAGGAAAGGTTTATAAACTTAAAATAACTATTATAAAATTAGGATATACCTTACACACTTCTAGTTTTTGTTAACGGTAGTTCTGGTTCAAACTTTAATCCTTAATAAAGGAAATAAATTCTTTATAACAACATAAGGTCAAGCAATATATTTTTTAAAAATACATGAAAAATTTGAAATCTTCCTATACAAAAGATTCGTATTAAAGATATAATTGAATATTTGAGGGTTTTTTTTCCCTATCTCAATCTCTGAGAAATAAACACCAGCGCGGTGAACGTGTTCATTGAAAATTTTAGGCTTTAAGAAGGAAGTGATATCAACATTATTGGAATCTCAATATGTTGTTTTATTTAAGAAAAGTGTCCCTTAAATCAGTACAGCAAAGTGGTGTAAGGGATACTTCTCTTAACTGTCCCTTATGTCAGCAAAATGCCGTAAGCGTATACCTTTCAGATCATTTCGTTTTTTGATGCGTATGTATATTTATGTAGATTCGTATAAATTTAACTATATGTCAAAAAAGAAGTCGTTGCGCAATAGCAGAATTCTGATTGCATTTTTGAATTTAACAAAGTATTGTCTTATTCTCGTACTTTGATTCGCGTGGCAAACAAAAATTAAAAAAATTGTTCTTTAGTATTACTGGAATTGCTTACACTGGCTTAACACATTATAGATAATCATTTTATATCTGTTATACAAACTTCACAATTTTGATGTCTAGATGCTGTAATAGAAAATAAACTTTCTTATCATCATTAAGAACATAAGGTTTCCTTACTTGCCACGGATAAAAATCGGCATACAGAGAAGATTCCTTGTGTTATAACCGGTTCGTTGATCCACAGACCTAAATAAAAATTAAGAACTTTATATACCATGAAAATATTGTAAGTATAAATATTATAATGTCTTCTGGAACTTATTTCATATACATATTTTGTTTCGTAAAGAAATGTTATATCATATGTAATATTTTTTGCCCCTAGCAGACAATAGTATTTAGATAATTGCATGATGTTCCTCAGATTGGATCCACTGACATATCTTGTTTCTTCTTAATAGGAAAATTATCATGACAGAATATAATACAACCTGAATTTTCAGGTTTGCATCCGAAGTATGCAATTTAAAGTATAGATTTCTAGTTAGAAAAAACCCCTTAATTATTATACCAGATACAAATGTAAACAAATTTCATATTTGAAACTTCAATTTACAGAATATTAAATATCCAATTTTCTTAATAATTATATTTTCCTTTATTCTATTAAACTGTTTTATCTCCTAAATTTAATCTTTGTACTAAAAACCAATGATGAAAAAGTATTTTTTATGAGTATATAATATACCCTACAAGAGAAACATGAGAAATTATTTTCGTAATATTATTCCAAAGAAAGAATTTCGAAAATAAAATTGTTTATTAAAGAATAAGACTATAAGTAAATGCTTAGAAATTTTACATACTAATGCAGAAAAAGATTTTAAATAATAGGAACGGATGAGAAATAGTAAGCAGTAAAATAAAATATTTGCAATAATAATTACAGAATATGTTGATTGAGATTATAGATTTATGGCTAATTAAGGTTTTTAGATTTATTCCTTACATGCGATGGGCAATGATAACTTTAATATTTCACCGTCAGGATGCTGACATACGATTTTTATTATAGTATTCATAAACAAAAGTGCCGATGTGATATTTTGTCATTAAACTTTACTCACGATATTAACGCCCATGGGTGAAGGCTTCTGTGTAGGTAATTGTCGTAGACAGGTGATACTCATTACTGATATTTATTCATGTTCTCAAAAATGCTAGTCACTTTCTGAAATGATTGTCTCGGAATTTGTTTGATCTGGATTTTTTGTCCTGAGATTTTTTTTATGAGAGAAAATTCTAAAAAATAATCATAAAAATTACTTAAGATTACCTAATATTTTTAGCACAAAATTTCCGTTTTTAATTTGCGGTAAACATTACTACTCTAAGATATCCACAAGGGAAGTCTCTTCTTACGTAAGAGAAAAAATTGGTATAGTTGTAATACGAAATTAAAAAATCTTAAGAATGGGACCAACAACGCATAGGATTTGATAGTACTTTTTATCGCAAGGGCTGTATTATCATTTATGTATATCTTTCAGCATTGAATTCTATTTAGTTTAGAAATATGCTTAAAATATTACAAGTTTAATTCACAGACAGTTATGAGTGTCGATTTGCAATAGTGAATTTTTTTACATTTAATAAGGCAATCTCAAGAAAAATTTAAATTTATATAAATAAATAATAAGAGATTTAATAAATAATCTTTCTGAGTAATTAAATTTTTGAATCAAAATAATCTTTATCATTAAGATTCAGAGACAGACGCCTGCGGACAAACATTCGATTTCAAATAATTCCTTATTCGAAGGCAGGAAAATCCTACAGCAAATACTACAACATATTTTTTTGAAAAACATATAAAAAGGCACAATGACTTAAACCTTTCATCCTATGTCCATTATGTCGAAACGCATCATTTGTACTTTGTATGAGATTCGAAACTAGTATACTCTAGCAAACTTGTACATCTGTATGATTTCTACAGATGTATGTACTAATGTTTCGCATGAACATGAGAAGCATTTTATAAAGCATATAAATATATTAAAGTAAATAATAAGATATGTGGAACAAATTTAAATTTTGTGACAAGTACCTGTTGAATCTTGCGTCATTATAGGCATCAGGAATATTCAAGCTTTCTCCTGTCATTGCAACGTATCCTGCTATTCCTTTACCAATGGGAAATCTGAAAGAAACGCAATACGAGTATTTTATTTGCTTAGCGACTAATTTCATATGTCCTAAGAAATATCCTAAAATAAACGCAATCTTTATTCTATCACTTAATGATCGCAAGAGAAATATTATAGCCTTTCTCTGACAATATCATTCCCATTGAACAAACTAGTCTACTTCTGCCCACTTGAGTCTACTTCTGCCTTATGACTTGTGCCGTCGTTTTCAGATTGAGGATTTTCTCTGATTTTTCTTGGCTTAAATTGATTAAAAAAGGGCAGTACGACGTCATTTATCACGTTAGCCTGAATGTTTTGTATCTGGAGCTCAGTGAAGATACGTGCACTTTGAAGACTAGCAAAACTTTACTTGCATCACTTGATTTCATTCCACAACAGTTTCCTACCTTTTCCTTCCATTTCCAAGGTAACGCATGCTTTCCGCTTTGTGGTGGGCTGTTCGAGAGAAGAAAACTACATAGACTTCAGAAAAGATTAACAGTGTTTTCTCTATTCTTGTTTTTGTTTCGTTGGTTTCATGGACAAAATTCACTAGACATGGAGGACATTAATGACAAGGAGGAAAATGTTGTGTGTTGAGATATACAGTAGACTCCCTCTTAACCGGCTTCCGTTTAACCGCATTTCCGCTTTATTTAGCCACAATTAATATAAGTAAACTAAGAAAAAGTAGGCAAAAAGAAATTACAAAAGATTGAAAATTAGTAAATATGTATTTTAAACACGAAGCCACAACAAAATTCAAAGAAAAATGAGAAGCTGTTATTAACGAAAAGCCTTTATACGACGTACAAGTTTATAAATGGCAAAAATTATGTAGTGAGTCGCCGAATTCCTAAAAAAGTGAATTTCCATCAATTAGTAAGTAATATTTTTTTTCATTCTCTGCGTTAACCAGAATTTCGCTCAACCTTCTTAAGCCCGGTCCCATTTAGACCGGTTATGAGACTGTAACAACATACTATCAGCCCGCCTAGGTCAGTCGTTTCTATAACTGTCTTTATTCAGCCTTTGGTCCAAACCATTGGCCCATTCTCAACCATTGGCCGTAAGCATACACTTCCAGTATAAAAATATTTTAAATGACGCAAATATTCAAGTTTTGGCATTTTAACCCAATGCATATACTTAGGAAACGTTTCTGCTTATTATAAAAAAATCTGATGTGTACACCACATGACTTCCTTGTACGGAATATTAAATTATACGCATTTTTTTCTTGCATTTCATTTAAACTTATTGGATTGAATTAAATCTACTTCGCCGACAGCGCATAAACCACAATAGAATAAGTGCATTAATTAAAATTCACTCTAGTATTTGTTTACCATAGCGACACTCTGGCGCTAGATTCACTTAACAGTATTATATTTCGTTCATATTATAAGTCATAATGCACAAAATTTATATCATTTAAAGAATGGAATTATCTAATCGTTGCCACATGTTCTATTCAAATACTATAATAAAGCTAGAATGATGTATAAAAAAGAAATTAAGCTAACAAAACAAAAAGAAACAGTTTTTTCACAGACGATTGAGTATTTCTCATTCAATTAATTCAGTTCTCACTTCGCGAGAAGGCAAAAATACATAAAAACTCAAAATATCTATATTAAAAATTACGAAGTAAATCTTAAACACTTATTTCCTCGAAAAAATTCCAGAAAGGATTAAACATGATTTAATTGGCAATAATAAATGAAGGCGTTATCTTTGTTGTTGCGAAGTTAAGTTTCTCTAGATTGGCAACAAATCCACTAGTCTCCTGTTTCATATGTAAACAATCAATGGCCGCCATAAAAAAAAAGGCTTAGCGGCACTTAAACAACTTTAAAATTGTTAATAATTCTAAAAATATTGCATACAGATTTACTAAATGCATAAAATCCTTAACCGGAAGATAAAAACAACATAATTCAATCATTTTTAAAGAAAAAAAATGTACAATTTACAAACATATAAGAGTAAAGAAACTGAGATTACTGAGCCGGGTAACAGAGTGAACATATATATAAATATATTTATATACGTTTGGTGTGGCCGATTGCAACCAAAATACGACTTCTTTTAAGACTTTAACATCTACATGATATAGCAGTCCTATATACAAAATTTCAACGTTCTGAGGCTACTCGTTTTTGAGTTATGCGAGATACTTTCATACAGACGCCACGAAAAATTCGCTTCAGAATGAATTTTAAATCAGTTTTATAATTTTTTCTTGGGGAGGGGAAGAGCTATTTATTTTGTCCTTACGTGAAAATGTCACACAAAAACATCGTTAAATTGCATTCAATAGCGGTCAAAATGGATATTTTCGTTGAAATATGCTGCCTGAAACTTTTCGCGATTACAATACTTCCTTTTTACTTCGTACAAGGAAGTAAAAATAAAACACAAAAGGTTTGACCGAGGTATTTGATGTTATATAGAGGAACGTATGAAGAGTTAGATTTTATAAAATTGATTTCTGTAAATTGAGAAATGGCAAAACATGAATATTTGCATTATTTAAAACATTTCTGTAATTGGAAGTATATGTCTACGACAAACGGTTGCGAAAATAAAAGTCGGGTAAGGAATTTTACGGAAAAGGTGTACATACTCAGCCTCCGGGACATACTTACAACAACAGTTTGCAAACTACTGACAGAAATAATCTTCCATTCTGTCTGAAATGACACTATTGATACTTACCGCACAGAAGGCCGATAATTCAAAATCTTTATTCTGTACTCCTATATATCGAATACGTATTGAGTATGTTCGAGATCAAAGCTCTAAATCATATCATCTTAACCTATTGCGTTACTTTTTGTGACCAGGTACATTGTCACGGTAAACGTGTCCGATCATTGTAATATTATTACATAATCGATAGGAAGTGATTATCAAAAATGTAAAGGGTGACTTTCCTAAGTAAAAGTTGTAATCATCCAAACCAATGGCCCATGGCCACATCTCGAAAACAAAGAACTGACTTAAAACTTTTAACGGAAACTTTATATACCAGCAAATAACACACTTGACTTGTAGTTTACCCATCCTCGCTCTCAATAGAACTCATTTTACTCTATTCTAATGGCCAGGAAGGATAGCCACTGTAACCAACCCAGTTGACAAACAGCGACAACAGAAGCCACGGAATGAAATTTTCTGCAAATTATTGCTTGTGTGCATAGGGGTTCTAATAGTTTTATTTACTCGGACGCTTTGCTTTTGCGCTTTCTTTGTGGGACGGATTTGGGTCTGTCGGATTTGGGTCTGTGATAGTTTCGACATATTATCCTTCTACCAATAATGTACTGCAAGTCATGTGTACATAGGGGTTCTAATAGTTTTACTTACTCGGACGCTTTGCTTTTGCGCTTTCTTTGTGGGACGGATTTGGGTCTGTCGGATTTGGGTCTGTGATAGTTTCGACATATTATCCTTCTACCAATAATGTACTGCAAGTCTCTCGCCATGTGATATAACACTGACTATTTGCATTTAAACATCAAATATTTGCATTATGCAGTAAGGGCGTCTGCTGATATACTTAATCAATTCCAATTTAGATCCTAACATTATGAAGCCTGAAATAATTTTTTTTTTTGTTTTGTTTTTGTTTGAATGAGAGATAAAAGAGAAAAACGAGGAACTAGCTCCGTGAAGCTCTAGCTAGACTAACCTTGAAGAGAAAAAGGTACTGGACATTATAATCTCGCATTAATACCTTAATAAAAGCTGTTGGGCTCAGCAAGACAACATTTTGATTTTGACGAGATGTTCCTTGACATTAATCCATGTTCTGAATTTTACGAAAAAAAGTAAAGTTTCAAAAATTGATTGGAAAACTCTAACCTCTAAAATTAAGATTCGATTTAGTATGTATAAGTTTTCTTTAAGAACGCTTATAAGTATACTGAAAATTTTTAATTAAATACCTGTTACTAAATGTTCGGTATAAAATGCAATCCAATTATACCTGATTTCTTCAGGGCACAAATCGGAATCTTTTTTTTCTGAAGGATATTCGCTTTCTGCCTCAGATCCATTGACATCGAAGATTCTGGCGTACAGTTCGCTGGACCGTCCATCCACGAGAAAAAGTGAAGCTCTATCTGCACTTACGAGTTTACGAGCAAACATCTAAAAAATAAATGCAAGTTGCATTTGTAAGCACAGTGATGCTAGAAAAAACATTATGGTAGATATAAACATAATTTTATTAAATCTAAAAGAATCTGATTATACTTTTTCAAAGCTTCAATACTGTTAAAATCTCGCAAAGGAAAACAAAAATAAGCCTCAAACAAATAAATATTCAAAAAATCGCAACTATTTGCTTAAAATAAAGAGAAAGGATTTTGTAGAAGAAAAATGAAAATACAGACGAATAACCAGAAACTGAAGAAAATTTTAAAAAAATATTTATTAACATGTACTCAATGAAGATAAATTATCGGGGTAAAAAAGCTAGCACATCAGATTATTAGACATAATTATCCTCTAACAAGTGCGTATTTTATATCTGTTAAACTATAGCTCATAAGGATAACAGTTTAGTTATGATTAAAATTTATGAAGCCAAATAAAGTTAGACATTCATTAATATGATTTTATTTGAATTTTAGTGGTTGTACATACATATGTTAATATATATTAAATTATATAATTAATTTGATTACATAATGTATCAATAACATAATAATATAGCAATAAAGATTGCATAATATAGCAATAAGGTAACGTTGATTGCATAATATAATAATAACGTAAAAGCATGCTTACATACAGTCTAATCAAATAAGTTAACGAATAATCTCAGTTAATAGAAGACCGCGTGGAATATTTATGTCCTGAATTCTTAGAGAGGTTTTCTCTTAACAATTTAAAATCTTCTACAAAATCTAAAACTTAAGTGAGAAAATTGTAGACTGCATACTCTTTGAAAACAACATTAGTCCTTTTCTAAGGATGCTTAATATTTAAATAAAATTTTGTTAAAATATGGCTTGCTAATAAAATATATCTTACCAACAAATTTAATTAAATATTTACAATCTATAGGGTTATTATTATTTTAATTAACTAGTTATTATGATTTTGACCTTTACTATAACTTCTGTTTTCCTTTTTCCCACCAGAAATGTAAAGCAGTTAGCGTATCTCAGTCCGAGGTGTTGGATCGTAAGACAGAGCGTGTTTCTTCTTCATAGAACTTTGCCAGCTCTCATAAGACTGTAATTCTTCGGCTTTGCGTTATTGCTGCGGACATTTAATTGTTGGGCCACTGAGAAGTTCTGAGCCAATTTAAAACCAGTTGTGTAGTCTTCAATTACTAGGCATAGTTTTAAATTTCCATTTGACTGTTAATTTAAGTTTCATAGCCACAAGCGGTGGTTTTTTTACTAAGCACAAGACATGCATTCATATTAAAGTTCTGATTTCATAAAAAGGTTATTTTAACCTCTTCAAGTCTCTGCCGTTAACTTCAGACGCAGTGATAATTGAGACTCCAAGTCTGTCAGAAGTTTGATGCTAGTTTATGCCACCAAAGAAGGTCAAATTCTATAAATGAATAATCGTAGAAGCAAAGAACTGCGTCACAAATTTATATTATTTATATATTTGTATCAGCTTCATCAAACTGTAATGATGATACATCAGTTTTCATTCATGCATGTTACTGACCTGTTATTACTTAAAAAATTTTGACAGACTTTGCACTGTATAATAATAATATGGTAACATTTGTATCTAATGTATAACAATATGTAAATTACAGTTTATTAAATTTATACCACTTAACTATTAAAGCACAAAATGTTTACAGTCTATTGTAAAGCCTACGCATATAAAAATATGCATATGAAATATAACGTGCCTAAATGAAATGTTTCACCTGAATATGGCATACAAGGTGAAAAAATTATTCCAGTATTAAAAGAAAAAACTATACGTGAAATTGAAGCTATCACTTTATTTTAAATTGAGGTTTACTTACCATGATTTTTAATATAACAGTATCCATGCTGACCATATCATGAAAAATTGATCTGAAACGATTGTTGAATATATGCAATATGAGACCGCACATGTATGCTTTTATATTTTATATCTTATATATATGTATACATAAATTTAAAGCAACTAAATTTATTAGTAAATTGGAATAAAAAAAGGCAACTCCTCTATAATATAATAATTGCAATCATGTATAAGAGTTATAACATAATATCAGAACTAATAGAATTAAACAGGGAATTCATAGTAGAACAAGCTCGAATAATAGAAATGCGAAACGGCAAATTATATATACATATAATTATGCATAAAGTGTATATATATGGAAAAGAAACAATAAGTATACATAAAGATGACGGCAGTGTCCGCTTTCTGCTCTTGGCGCTTATTCGTCTAACGTACACCGTATATTTTGTCTATTTGTGCAAAGCAGTTTAGGAACAAATATCTACAACCCCAATAACTTCAAAAACAATGAAACTGGTGCATGGAATCCTAAATTTATTTTACTAACCATTTATTTACCATCATGAAGTATCAAAATATTATGAAAAATACTGTTTCATCCAGTTATCACCGTTAAGGAGTATCATAAGACTACTTAGAAAACCTTCCGCCAATTCATGTTTTAATTAGCAACGATTTCTTGTATCACTTCCGGTTGATCGTTGGTAAACAAAATCTAATTTGTTATTGCAGTAAATAGAAAGGTGTGCAATACAAAAATTTTGGATTATATTTTATTGGGTATAATTGGCCATATGTAAAGCTTGGTTTTTCTAATTTAATATCAACATAATCTAATGTATGGCCCTTTATTTCATTTTATTAAAAATTGTATTTTATTATACAGTTGAATACTATTTATTTAATTGGCTTTTTAATTAAAGACAATTAAATTTTTATAATATATTTAAAATAAATACTTTGAAACGAATATCAAAAACTAAATTTCTTCTATACTATTTTTTTTTGTAATTCCTACTATTAACTTTTCTTAATTAATTCCCATTAAAACTCATTATCTAATTTTTGGACTGAAAATATTACCTCGATTGTCTGTGTCTATAAAGTGGTTGGAAATAATAAACATATCGTCATGAATTTAAATATTTTATATTATCACTCTTAATTATCGTAATTAAAGTCCTTTAACCATAAAGATGTGCAGTAAATTAATTAACTCTTTCAAGAAAAACCCCAATAACTCTTTAAATTTCATGTTTTTTAAACTTCATTAAATTAGAATAAAATTTCATGCTTTTAGGGAAATGGAAAACATTCAAACAAGTTGAGAAAATCTTTAGTTCAATATCTGCTAAATCAGGATTTGACGGTACTTACTTCACTACTGTAAGTAAGAACATATTCAGTTCCCTTTGTTTTACCATGGTACAGTACAGCTGAAAAAAAATTATATAAATTAAATAGTATTCAAATTTATTGCAGAACAATAAAGTGTTCATAGAAATAAGTGAATTCTTCCCAGAAAAGAAGATACTTACTTCAGCGTAATGTAAAGCAATTCCACCCCATACGAGGTAACTATTCACAATCTGTAAGGAAAGAAAAGAAATCGAGAATATTTGCAGTTTAAAATCTCACACACGTAACTGCTGAGAAAGGGACATATTTATTCTATCCTTCAAAACCTTAAACAAATATGTGTAGATATCGGTATTTTTTTAAGTTTGTGAAATTTATTTTCCTAATTACACTCGTGCTAAAAAAATAAGCAACAAACACTAAAAGAAAAGGTACAAATATAAAAAGGGGAATTAAAACTTATGATATACTAATTTACATATGAGGTACAGGTGCATCACCGAATGCAAACAGGCACCAAAATTAGCATAAAACGCAATTCCACAGTCGCACCTCAACGCCTTATAAAGGGGCATGCCGGACCTAGTTTAGTGTAATTCGAGATAACCATAGCTTAAAGCATGAGCCGAAGACACAATTTACACGATGAAATACGTTGAACAACTGTCGAGATGCTGATAATGTTGTTGACAATCCTTTGTTGTAAGACAATCTGCTGTTGAGAGAGACAATCTGTTGTTACATTTATATATATAATCATGCTATATATATGTGTTTGTAAATGTATTGTTATATGTATGCCATTACGTATTAATATGTTGTATGTTACACCTTTACGTTATATATTTACCTTTATGATATGCATTTACCTTTATGTTCTGTATTTAGCATTATGTTCTATGTTTATCATTATGTATTCGAGTACGAAGGCACCATATATCACACTTATATTGTAACGTTATGTAAAAATTGTAAATATGTCAAAACTCTTCCTCAAAATAATAATAATAATAATTTTCAAATAAAGATAGATGGTGCAGCTGAACAATACCCACATTACCAATGGTTAAACAATAGGTGTCCGCTGCTCTACAACCTTAACCTGCTGTTGAGAGAGAGCTAAATGTACGTCGTAGAGTCATCAATAGAATCGGAATCGTTACCAAAAGGATGAAAACCCCTATAGAAGACGTGGGTCTGGATGCCAGAGGATAACCAGTACGGCGGAGGATCGTTTCCTGTTGCTATGTGCAAGATGCCCTAGATCACTTACAGCAGGACAGCTGACGTCGCATCTCTCTGCTGCCCATATCCTGCCAAAATGTGTGGCGTCGACTGCATGAAAATGGACTGTACACCCGACGATCTGTGGTTTGTGTTCCTTTGTCCCCATTGCACGTGAGAGCATGGTTGAATTGGGCCCCTGAACATTGCAGTCGGACACCAGAGCAGTTGAACCACGTACTTTTTGCGGATGAGTCTCGGTTTAACATCCAGAATTACTCCCGAAGGTCAATGATATAGCGAAATCCAGGGACACGCTATCGGAAGACAAACTTTGTTGAAAGAGACCCTTACAGAGGAAGAGGCCTACTTGTATGGGTTGAGATAGCAACGAATGACCACAACCGACCTCTCTATAATTTCTAGTGGTTCCATTACAGCCGTCCGATATCGCGACGAAATTCTACACCCTTTTCTGCGTCTATCGCTGCCATGGATCGCGCTATCATAGTCAAGAATGAATATCAGCTAGACAGTATCATACACATAATTAGCATAATGTTTCTATTGCACATTCCTCCAACTCATTTGGTCTTTCGCGATATTATGGACGTAATACATGTGTTTTTTGTACGCCTTTGCTTTATTATTTGTTGTGTGGTCTAGTTATGCCACACCAACCTCTTCGATTAATTTCAAGCATATTCATTAAATAGTTTTAGCTGATTTATTCAATATTTAATTAAAAGCGGTTAACATATTTGAGAAAGAGATTCTCTATATCTAAGAATTTCTTATGCAATAAACAATTCCCTCCGTGTTTTATTTATATTCTCTCGAACTGTAAGTTATCGATATTTTTTGTGTAACTAGCTGGTTAATAAATTTATTTAAATTTTTTCTGTTTATTTATCTTTACTTTAGTGGACACCGGTAAAACCGGTATCCTTACTTTAGAGTGGAGACCGGTAAAAGTTTATTATATTGAATTAATAAAGAGTAATATTGAATTAGTAAAAATTGAGCAGTAAAAGCATACTAAAGGTTTTTCAAAGATATTTTAAAAATTCTGAAATTTCGTTCGATTTGAAAATAAGGCGTAATTGTCAATTTGTAAGCAAGCTTAAGTGTTATGGAAAATTGTTATGTATTATTTTGTTCTGTACAATTATTATGTATTATTTTACTGTGCATAAGGTATTTAGTTATTATATTATTTTACTGTGTTTAATGAATTTGTATTGTTATTATTTAAGAATTAATGTATAATATTTAGTATTGTTTAAACTTTAACTCCTTTACGGCAACTCAATTACGACAAAGCTCTTTTAAGTTTAGCTGAAGAGTGTGATTCAGAAGAAAGGGTAAGGCTTGTTACTTCCATTTCTCACGGAAGCGGTCAGTTGCGGCCAGCTGCATTTTCCTATTTTCGCGGGGGTTGAAAATACGTGTTCTGCTCGTTCAGAGGCGAATAGTTCTAGGGTGTGGCGATATTTGACAGAGTTATAGGTTGGAAACATTCTTCTGTTGCGTGGGAAAGAAAGGGTCTGTCATCTTATAGATAATTCTGAATTTCTGTTTGCTTTGGAAAATATGGAAAAAAGAGGGAAGTCGTCATCTCCTGTTGTCCATCTCTTTCTGTTATCTTCAGAGAGTCTTCGAAACAAAAGGGAAGGCTGATTTTCTGAGTTAAATGCTGCTGGACCGAGTACTGCGGGTCAGAGCTTAAATTGCGTCGGAACCCACCGGAGCCTGACTCCGGACCTTCTTAGTTTTGGGGATAAATCATAATTCTAGACGGAGCGCACCGGAGCCCTAAATAAGAAGGCTTCGGCATTTCTATGTAATTGAACAACAATTTCAGTAGACATCTGATCTCGAAAATTTTATTTTTAGCAGCAAAAGTATATTAAAAATCGCTTATTAAATTTTAATTTATGCTTGTACATTTAATTTAATTACTTTAACCCTTTGCTGCACTGTGTGTCCTGTCTGGACACACCTAAAAATTTCCTTCTGTAAGCACAGAAAAATTGAATGAAAAAGGATTTATAGGTTACTCTGAACCTTCTTTATTTATAGTAGATGGCAGCTCAACACAAACCAGTCCATATAGTTTAGGCATGTTTAGTTTTTTAAGCCCTCATTTTTCAAAGAAATCTTCCAAATTTTTTAGGGTATAAAAAGAATTGTTTGAAAAGAAATTTCTATGTTATTTTTTTTGGCTGTATGCTAATCTCCTTATTCTATATTAGTTTTAAATTTTTACCTTGAAATCTTGCTTAAAATCAAACGGCGAACCCTAGGTGTGCCCAGACCGGGCTCACCGATAATCTAGGACAACTGAGAGTCTGTATTCTTTGTTTCTCCGCATCTCATCGGTCGGTTCATTGACAACAATGCTCGTTTCAGCACTCTTTTCGAAGCTTTAGTGGGCACACCCACAGAATTAAAACGATAAGTGCTATCTTCACGAAATTTTACTTGTGTACTCGTCTAGGCCTAATTAGACTGCCTAACTTTTTTTTTTTTTTTTTCCTATCAAAACTCCAACTTTAAAAGGTAGCGTGCCGGAAAGGGTTAATCTTTAATTATTTTAAATACAATTAATTAATTGAAAAATAATTATTAATTAAATAACAATACAAATACTAAATATTAATATTAATTTAATAACTATTAATTAATCCGGAAACAATTAACTATTTAATTTTTAAATTATTAATGATTTTAATGTCCATTTTATTTATTTACTCTTGTTCCTCTTTCCTGACGGTCTTGCATGGGGCTCCGGCACTTCTAATTTTAGAAATTAAACCCTGGTGCGGGTGCTTGAACAAGAGAATTCCCGTTATGCCTTGAACATACATCAGTATCGGTTTTCCTGACAACGATGAAGTGAAACTATGAGAAAATTCCTGTTGTGCTTTGAACATACATCAGTATCGGTTTTCCTGACAACGATGAAGGGGAATTATGAAAAAATCTCCGTTGTGCCTGGAAAAGACTTCAGTATCGGTTTTCCGGACAACGATGAAGTTGAACCGTTTCGTTTCGACGTTTTGTGAGTGGATCCCGGCAGCTCCCCGAGGCTCTCAGACTGGTATACGCGGATTCTGTGAACAAACATTTTTCTTTTTCTTTTTTTTTTAATAAGTAATCGTTAGGATTTTGGAAGAGTTAAATTCTAACGCCTTAGCCGAATTTTCATATAGATTAAAATTTGTATTTTGCTATTAATCGGTCAATCAATAGTTGAGAAAGTATTATAAATAATAAATAGTTGAGAAAATGTTATAAATTATAAATAGTTGAGAAAGTGCTAGCTATGTTTTTTAAATGTTTAATTGTCAAGAGTTTAATTGAGTTCATGTTTTAAAAAGCTTAATACTGAGGTGTTTCACTATGATTTTGTATGACGTGAACTATGTTAAAAAATGAGATTGAAATAATGAGTAAATTTTAAGATTATGTTTTATAGGGGTAGTCTGGCCAGCTACCTTAAATTTTAATGTGTGGGAATATTCAATAAATGTGTTTATTATTTTTATTAGTGTATTTTTCTTTGAGTTTAATTGTGGTCTACTGTAGGTCACCCATGTGTTCCTTACGGAAACATGGTTATTTTATCGAACCTGGGTGCATATACTACCGCAATATTGCGGTAATAGAAAAATCAGTTTTAAGAGTTGTGATTATACGATCGGCTACTTAATTTATTATGATTTGTTGAGTAGACTTCTTAAATGTGAGATGTATCTTTTCCTGGTGTTTTTTAGAGATCTGAGTAGTATTTTAAATGTTAAGTGTTTTAGGGCTATCTCTAGATTTGTATTGAAATTTATGGCTTTTCAGGTTGGAGATTTGAATTAAGTTATATTTTAGTGAGAGATAGCGTGTTAATGATTTTGTTATGGAAATGGCTTTTCGCATTTTGTTTTGACAAATAATCGTTGAGTCTAACAAAGCACCAGGGAGGATAGTTTTCCTTGATTTCTTTGATTTTAAAGCGTTAAGATTTTGATTAGGAGAGTAGGAAGTACTAAGTTACTGAGTTTAGATTTAGTTAAAGTTATTTTTATATCGTGGCACCAAGAAGAAGTTAGTTTAAAAGTTAATTGAGTAAAAAAGAAGTTTTAATATTTGTTTTTTCTACGTAACATAAGTGTTCCTTTATATTTTTCGTTTCATGAATTTCGTGTGATTCAAAAAGTGATTATATTGGTTTAAGTTAACATTTTACAGAATGAAAACATTTAAGGAACATACCGAGAAAATAAGTGTAAACATTTACGTAAATGATAAAAGTAGGAGGAGAATATAAAATGAAAATAGTGTTTTCATTTTAAGCGTTTTGGTCCTTCTCTTTAATTTCAATACCTGAAAAATAGAATTCTTGTATAAAAGTATACAGCCTTTGGCGGCGGCTGCCTAAGATTAACAGCTTTGAAAATGGCTATTTCTGAGAACACAAATAAACACTGGTATTAATTATCACCTCTATAGGACAATTTCTTCCCTACTGGATTAAATTCATCTGAAAATGTATTCATCTTAGCGAAGGAGCTTTTTGTAAGTGTAAATACAACAGTAGTAAAAGTTAGTTTACTACTGTTAAATTTTCACACACAAAGCATTAAAACTAATCACTTGATATACACTCATTTGGAGTGTTTAAAGATTTTCGACTTCATGAGGCATGTCTTAAACTAGATGTCGATAAATGTTCCGTTGAATATCATACCACGAATACAATAGAATTTGGCCTAAATCTTGAAAATTCTGTGATTGTCATGTTGATGCTCAAATGCGTTGTTATAAATAAAACTACTAGATCTTGCTGAAATTTATGACAGGAGAACTGCTCAATGAGATTCACGTCAGGAGTTTTAATATCATGGGAAAGTGACATTAAAAATTCTTTACCACATTCGTCAAACTATTCCAGAATTATACTCATATACTTCATAACTGTAAGCATTATCTTGCTGTGCGTTGCCATTTCCATCTGGAAAGACGGTGGATATCTGGTCCCTCAGGATGTTTAAAGAAGGCAGAAATATTGAAATTGCTTTGATAATGAACTGAAAAGCGCTCCACAAAAACATCTGCCCATACATACTAAGAACATGTAGTGAATTGAGTTTCAGAAAGCAGCGTTTCCTTATACTCTGTATCAGGTGAAAAACATCGGTAAAACAAAGAGACGACAGAAAAAGTCAAGTGGCCGCCATCAGTCGACGAATAAGGTGAGTTTCTGGTCGAAGGTCCAAATCAGTGAACTGAAGACTCTATATGAGTAAAACATGTTAAGGATGGAGACTGTCAAGTGGATATTTGTGCTTTTCTCTGGGAAATGGAGAACATCTAAGAGAGTTGATGCAGTTGTTAGGTGCCCATATATAACACTCCCTCCATCAGCTTACTTCCGCTCAAGAACGGAGGGAGGTGAGAAGCTTTCCGTCGCTAAATGTCGCACTCGAACAAGGAGGTTAGAATTCGTACTATTCTAACCTCCTTGCACACGAACTTGCTCATCCGCATAACGTAGTAGGGGGGACAAGATTTGTCTGTTCAAGTGATCCCTTTCCCCACCTCAGTTCTCCAATGAACATATTTACGCAGATGAATTACAATGAATGTAAACATAACTGTTGACTTCGTCATGTTCGTTGTTCGTCATGACTTCGTTCGTGTTTCGACACATTTTGCACCATCACTATTATATTGAGCGAAAATGGCAACTGCTGTAGCCCATCTATCCGCTTGGGCAAATCGACAAAGCTTTCGTTTTTCTCAAGGAGGTCTCGACGATCAATGGCTGACCAACACGTTGCCTTCAGCTAAATGTTTTACCTATTTGCTACTGTTTCTGATATATATTAAGTACTGCATCTAATGACAAGGTCTGCAATTTTCGAAATGCTTTTTTTATCCAACTGTCGGGTTATCACATCCATCATTTATCAAATTCAGATAAATTTTACCTTTGCCCATATTGTAACGGTACAAAATACTGCTTGACAGAACATAATGCTAAGTATTTGCATACCACCTAAAAGCTTAACACTCCTATTTAATTGGCCCTGCAATTAACTTCACATGAACATCTCATAGGAGGTTTTAATGTTTTGACCGATCAGTATATATCAGTATAAATTAAATTTACCTCTTCGTCTTCTTCATGAAATTCAGCATTAGAGTCCTCTTTATAAAGTTCAAGAACACCTGGGTAAATATAAATGAAACATTAATTTATTATTTGTACACGGATTTATAAAATTCAGGTAATGGTAAGAGTAAAATTTTTCGTTACCAGAGATTTCTCCATCTGGTTGGAGAATAGGATGACAAAGAACGTTAATTGGCTTCTCATAATCAAAAGAAATCCCACCAGGAAGCCTTGCATCCTGAGATATAAAAATAACAAATATACTTCATTATAAATGTATATATCTCAGCCCATTTTATCTTTACTAATTGCATAAATATAACTCAAGGTTGTTTTTATTCAGAATATACATAATCATAAATATAAAAAAGAAAGTGAATAAAAGTTTCGATAGTGTTAGAAATCAGTAAGGAATTCAATCATGAATGTTGAAAACGAAAATATAAAAAATAAAGGCAAAGTTAGCTCCTTTAATAACACATCTTTAGGTAGGAATAAAATAAAAGGGAAAACACAAAGGTAATTAAGCAGACTATTTAACGGTATACGGCTTTTATATTGTTGTAAATATTTTTACATATTCGATCTTATTTATATACTGCTATTTGTTATTGTCTTTGTGTGTGTGTATTTGTTGTATGTTTTATATAGCTTTTAATTTATGGATAATAATTGGATTTTTATTGTTTAATTTTTTAAAAATATTTTGTAATATTTGCACCTCTTGGTAAAAACATGTTGGTATTGTGTAAATAGCTCAAACATAACTCGAAATATAATCTGATAAATTCTAATAGGAAATGAAGAAATGGAGGACATTTAGGAAGGTTGTAGTAAATGCATTCCGATTTTTCTACGAATGTTCCAGTAATTTGCTTCTCTCTGCCCTATCAAATAAAGGAAATAAACCCGCGCTGGGAGTTAAAAATTAATTCAGTGTTAAAGTTTTGTTAAATTCTAATACTCAGTTATGACAATTTGAATATTGTTCTATCACTTCGAATTTAGTCACGAGATCGTTCCCTCCAGAGCAACCCTCTGGAGTTCCCAGTTTTGCAGAGGGTTCCTGGGAATCCTCTGAAGATTTTGAGAACAGCGTAGGGATTTAAGTAATTAACTGGAATTTCAGTCCGTCGGTATGATAGATCAGTCTTATGTCAGATGTTTGATCTCGCCTGAGGTAGTCTGCCTGTTGAACGGCAGCCGAGTCTGGTCATAAACGTAGCAAATCGTAAGGATGGAACATCTGGAAAGCAGTAGCCGTTGATTATTCATGCTGGAGTATATGATGACGAGAAAAGTCCTGTCCAAATGGGTAAGCTAAAGATTTTATGCCTAGCCTTGATAAAAAGAAGTGAACTGTGTTGCGTCGTAGGATTATCCTTGAAATGTGCATTTTAGTTTCGTCAAGTAGACTGTTACCTTTATATTTTTGGTTTTAATGATCAAGAAGAATCTCATTAAAGTTTTACTGTTAAATGCTATTAAGTCTTGGTTTGGATGCATGCATCCCTTCCATCTCGATAACTCGGGAAAGGAAGTTATTGGCACTTTGTAATTAGATTCTTGCCACATTAATCCAAACATCTTAAAGCAACCTAAAGCAAAGTGCCATACTATGAATGAGTGTTGCATTTTATGCTAACATTTGAATTTCGAAGTTGTGAATTTGGGACCTACACTTTTAGGGCTGAATCTACTATACACATTCCCGTAAACAAAATAACTAGAATAACATCTTTTAATTTTGCTCGAATTATCCTTAGGTGTGTTCTTTATTTGTAATAATTATCTTCAGGTGCGGTAACAAATATTTTCCCCATCCAACCTGTGCCTTCAGGAGGTCCTTATGCGCCGTTAAGATGAAGCAATACTTTACCAAGAACAAATTTCTCATGATTTACATTAAAATCAACCTTAGTTAAAATACGGGAAGAAAGAAGGAAACCTAGAACTATTTGAGTAAACGCTTTCATCAGAAAAATAGTTAAACAAATAATAATAATAACACAGCAAGTTTCAAAAGCAACCGTAGTGAAAACGAAATTTACCGAAGTTAAAAGAAACCAAAAAATAATTTTTATCGTACGTTTCTTCTGCTCTTTATCGTACACAAATTCTCATTCCTCTATTCCTATAAGCAAGAAAAAAGTAACTGTAAATGAGACAAGGTTTTAAATATAGAGAGAAATCAAAAATATTTACAAAAATAACGCGATAAAATAACATATTATCGCGGTTTTTTGACAGTTAGTTATGTTATGCTTGAAAACGTGTCAGAGTGTACCACAGTTACTACAAATAATTGTGAGCTGTAAAAACTTAATATGAATTCTCCTATATGAATAATTCTGGGTCATATGCTAAATAGACTACTCTATAAAAAGGTCTAAAATACAATTATTCGCTTCAGTAGTGACTAATAATCAGAAGCTTGTAGAGACATTAGGTAATTTTTGAAAGCCGGAGAGATGAAAAATATGCAACCGCCTTCGCCGGTAATCGAACCACGAACTTCTGAAATACCGAATCAGTGTGCTGACCACTACACCACGAAGGCACTCTAGGAAGGCGAGAGAAATACCTTATATACTCCCCGTTTTAAAGGGCGACTAGGGTTCTTAGGGGACCCAGTCTCTAAATCCTGGGTGTGGAGATTCATCATCCACAACCCTTTTAGTTCGGGCGCCACTGTAGTGACATTAGGTATTTTTGGAAGCAGGCAAGCTGAAAAATAGCAAACGCCTTCGCCGGGAATTGAACCACGGACCTCTGGAATACTGGCCCAGCGTGCAGAACCACTACACCCCGTTAGGGCGATACTTTGCTCGTTCTTAGAATCGATTTGATATGGCCGTTCAGAAATAAATCAACAAGAAGTCACTTTTCGGAACTAATCTCCAAAATTCGTGGAGCAAATGTGTACCTCGTCCTTCACCACAAAGAGAGAAGGCCGAATCTTCCACTAAGTATATTGATTTTTGCTCTTCCCTTTGCTAAACATTTACATGTGTAACCTAACAACACTCACAACTAATAGTCAAACAGCATGGCAGTTTTACCCATAAGAATATAGCACGTAAGATATTGGAGCATGTATACTATCATAATACTTCAGGCATGTATATTAGTGTAGAAGTAAATTTCATACATATATAACTAGTATACATCAATAATAGATGCTAAATGATAAATTTATTTTAATTTTGACTGGAAATATGAAGGTTATAAGGTATTTTCTCTCACCTTCCAGTATACCTTCGTGGTTTAACGGTTAGCAAACTTGGCACGAGAGGTCCGTGGTTCGAGTCCCGGCGAGGGCATTACACATTTTCACGTCTCCAGCATCAAAATAACCTAATGACTCTACAAGGTGTTCAAACAAGTGTTTTAAGGAATGTTAAGGAAGACAAAGTACTTCTTTTACTTTAAAAGTAGTAACCTTTTACAAACCTACCCATTTCTTGAAATATGCATATAACTAATTACTATATTCTACCTTATCTGCCGATTTCCATCGAATGCTTTCTTTCGTCTTCATTACGTAAGTTGCAAGGGAGCTTTCAGGTTGCAATCCGCTACATTGAAAAATATTAAAAAAATGTGTTAGATTTCATTATTAAAATAAATAATTTAATATGATAATTCTAATAGCTTAAAGAAATACAAATCTTACTTTTTACTTTCTTGATCATTTCCAAAATAACAGAGTTCCTGTAAAAAATAAGAATCTCATGTGCAGAGAGAAATTACGAATGCATACATGAAGTAGGAAAAAATTTACTTTGTAATCAGGGTCCATTAAATAAGCATGTAATTTAAACAATGCTGAAATTTTTAAATCTATTCAGTCTTACAAGTCTGACTTTAAAGAGAATTACAGCCATTTAGATATATATACCTCTAAGCCCCACCTGTGACGACTCTTTCATGTCTATACTTTTCTAAACCCATGCGAAGTTAGATCGGGCAAGTTTTTCACTTTACTTAGTTCAATATGTAAATTTTGTATGATGTCCAGGATGTCTTATTTTGTATTTGGTTAGGAAACTAAATATGTAGGGATACGTGTAGCTGTTTTGCACTTTCTTCAGTATCACTTAGAAGGCTGAGTTATGACCGAAAGTTAAGTTTGATGCAAAACTACACATCATTATTGTTCTTTTTTTAATATAACCGATCCAAACATTCTTGAACCATTCTAACTAAACATTTTCTTCTTAATTTTCAAAATAGAAAGCTGAGTATTCTATCGTTATGCATTCTATCTTGTACAAATCTTGTACGAATAAAACACTAAATTTAAAATTGTAGATAAATGACAAATTTGGAACGGAGAAACATGCAAAAGAGTTATTCCTTCCCCACCCTTCTCAGAGTTGAACACAGAACTCTTATATAACTGTTTTGATATCCTCACCGTTCCACCACAAGAACAAATGGGCTGAATGTCTTAGTTCGTCACAAAAAAAGCGATATATATTGTAATTTTATTTGGACTCGGCCTGCAATGAATAGCCGTTTTTTACGTAATATGATAAATGTTTGCTTAAAATGGCATATGGAATATATAAACATGAAAATGGGTCAAATAGAAAAAATAAGGAGTGAGCCGCTGGTACTTAGCTGTAGCTCTTTCGGATTAGGTTTTACTGCAAACAACAAGATCTACATTGAAACAACAATCTTCTTTTTATTTTAAAAACAAGGAATTTTAATCATTCAGCAAGAATTCATGGCGATCTTTATGTTGATAAAAGATAGTTCTAGTCAGCATTCTTTTAATAGCATATCTGCACTGCAATATGAGCCAACAATGCTTACTGATTAGGATGCAAACTGATTAGGAAGCTTGTGGAGCATCTACTCATAGCGGACACCAGCAGCAAAATTTAAGATTGCATTGTTAAGGGAATTATAATTGTCATCCGTCAAGATTGAATAGTTTTTAACTATTTCAATCTTGACTTCATGTATGCATTCGTAATAGTTTTTAACTATTCCAACAATCAACTAAGATGCTGGCTGTCTATCTAAAATGAGTTTCGACATAATTTAATTTATTAAGGGTTCTATACATGAGACAAAGGTAGTACACTTTTAATTAGAAGGAAAGGCTATCAAATATTGCTTATCACTTTGTTATTCAGTACGGAAATGTTCATACAGCTTAACACAGTGCGAAAACAAGGAACTCAAAACATACTTTTACCTCTGTTTCCGGATTGTAGATATAGAGCCTCCAACCAGTGGCATTGACTGCTGAAGCGATTGTCCTAGCCAGCTCAGATAAAACATGCCCCTTGTTTGGGTATGTGAATAACGTGGAAGTGAGTTCTTGAAGCATTTCTCTCTTGTCTGCATGCACACAAAACTGCAAAATTTAAATTAGCTTTAAGTTTCCGGCAAAAGGTGCCAATACTTTTAGGAATATAAAATTATATGCAGACTTAATGAGTTACATTTGAAGAGAACCAATTTTCAGGACGACTTGTCTTTCGATTTCGAAAGCCTTTTACATAACTAAACAAGTCTCGAACTTGGTGAAACTTAAGGATGAAGTTCAAGTAAAATTTTCCCTATTACTTGAAGACAGAATAAGCACGAGATATCAGTTTATAATTTTCATTTAAAAGTATATTTATGTTTATACTTTAAAGAAGTATACGTTTACACAAATTAGACTCGAAATAATAAATGTGATATATTGTAAGATCTGTGTTCTGTTATTCCACATAAACTGAATTAGATTCTACAATGATCCTGGCGAATTCTCGCACAAGCGTGAATAAATTACCAGCACAGAAGAAGGGCGAAAAATAACCCTTTATTTAATTCAAACTATGATTAACAGAAAGACACGATCTTCGTGCTTTACAATGGCACCGTCAACTTGCAGCGAAACTGAAACCTAGAATATAATTCAAGTCAAAATCTAAAATAAAATAATGCTGGATTAACCCGTTAAGTTACCCGTAACAGGTTGATTCACAAAAACCTAACAGGTGGGATGATAATCCGAAATGGCCAAGAGGCTTACTAGCGTAACAGCGAGGTAGCAAAGAAACGTGCGCTGGCTAGCGAAAACACGCTCTGAATAAACTCAAAGATTCACCTGTTTAAATACTCACTTTCCTTAACTTTAAATTTACATCTGGCGAGAAAATATGATGGGAAGTTGAGGAGTTCAGGAAAGGATTCAACTTAAAATAAATTTGTTATGCAAAATAAGGGAAACCTTACAATATAAAATGTAACCTTTTCCTTAGAATTTATTTGAAGGAAAAAGCATAGAATAATATACATTATGAAGGAAAAAGCATAATAATTCCTGGAAGTATCCTCCATTTCCTTCTTCCTGGATATAGCCATCCTTTTCATATAACTATTTATTACTTTTTAATTTACAATTGTATATATTTTACAGTATGTTAAGTGAACTTTAGATCTATCAACCTTATGACGTTATTTTTAACAAAAATAATTGTTTAAAATTACCTCAGAAAGATATGGTGGATAACAATAAGAAAGAATTTACATTTAGAAAAATGATAAGAGCAGAATATGAATTCATTCACGCACAAAAGCCATCCTTGCAAAACAAAGAAGAATATTAATTGTGATCAAATTTTGGATGAGTAGATTTCAGCAAGAGGTAGAGGTGTATGCGTAGCTACTCATATTCTGTAGCGTATTTGAATGAAAACAGCAAAGCATACAACAGTTCAAGGGGGAGCAATTGTTTTGTGGAAAACTTTCTAATTCAAACTTGCGTTGGAAAAACGCAAGTTTCCATTAGAAACTTTCCTTGCGTTCAAAACACTCATGTACCCAATACAATTTTTGGGACTGAAACCCAGGCCGAAGTACCAATGTCCAACTGTTTTATACAGTGGGATGCTGGTGACTGCTTTATTTTATGCAATTGCTTTACTTTATGCAATGACTTGTTTTCCCTAGATTTTCAGATAGATTTAGTTATGACGTTTCTAATAAATTCCGTTTAGAACTACACTGAATATGTATTAAATAATTTACCAAAGAATTAAATGCAGTGAAGTTCATTAAACTTAGATTTCATAAAATGTAGAGACCACTGCGCAAATATTATACAAATATAAAAAGCTATTGTGACTGATAAGATTTTTAATGTGCTGAATTCTTCAGCAAATTCTGGCAAAAAGCAGCGTAGGAAGCATTATTTTAAGAAACAGCAAAGTGAAATACTTTAAAATCTTATTTAGGACTAAATTTTACTATTTTCTATTTCATATAAAACGTTTAGTAAGTTATGGATTTAAATTTAAAGACGAATAATTATGTATCGTTATTAAATATTCGTATTTTTTCAAAAATTATCTTATTTATTCTGACTCGTCAAAATATCTAATGACAAAATAACCCCGACAAAACAGCCGGTGACAAAATAGCCTGCGACAAAATAGATCATGGAAAATTAGCTTGATAATAATAACATATTTCTAGTTTAATTTCTAAGCATGTTTTATGCAAATATCGACTTTTCATAATATTTGAGAAAACTGGCTTACGTCTTTAGTATCTAAAAATAAAAATATTTCCTATATTTTATATGCTTTTTAAAATAAAAATAAGGCATGTAAGGCCAGAAAAAACAACATAACAGTGTTTATTGGTACTCGTATTTCAAGATTATTGCAATACTTAGATACTGTTACGAAATAGCAGAAAAATATTGTCGCCAGTCTGTCTCCGACAGAAAAGAATGTATACAAGTAACGCACGCGCATTAGGTAAGTGGCGCTAAATCGTCTGTGAAAAACTGTTTCTTTTTTATTTGTGTAAGTTCTTTTACACATCGTTTTAGTTTTATCATAATATTTGAATAGAATATGTGACAACGATTAGATAATTCTTCAGATGATATAATTTTCCTGCATTGAGTTATAATGTGATTGAGATATAACGCTGTTAAGTGAACCTAACGCTGTGGCAAATAAATATCGTGGATTTTAAGGAGGGCATTTATTCTTTTCTGGTTTATGTGCTATCGACGAGAAGTAGATTAGAATCATCTCAATTCAGATATTTAGGTATTTTTTAAACAAAACATATAAATCTTCTGAAAATTACGTAACAATTATAGTTTCGAATATAGAAAATGCGATACCAAATCTTGTATGTAGCAGTAACCTGCGTATGGAAATTATAACTACAAAACCTTACTTGTCAAACTGTTGTGGAACATTTTTAATAAGTCAGCCTATGTGAATATGTGTGCAACATCCAAATTCGAACACTTTTATTTTTTATAATGCAATTGCGTGCGCGATGTAATTACTGATTTCTACATATGCCTTGGAGCTCTTTTATATTGTTACAAAATGTCCAGGCGCGGTAAGATAGCTCCTCCGCAAAGCAGTTTTAGCGTTGCCATAAAATGGGAAGGGAAGGCCGGGTTGCCACATTTGGCGAGAAAATTGGCGATATGCTATGGACGGATGGAGAATCTTCTGGAACGAATTTTTACCAGTTAGCCCAGAATGTTCTCCAATACAAGCCAAAACTATATAAACCCTTGCTAGTACGCGCAAGCAGAGTCGGGAGCTGTACTCTGATGCTTTGCAGTGAAACTCTCTCCAATGTTATAGCTTGATAACCTGGAGGCTGTGTCGCTGATTGTGTCAGCGTGTTTATAGTAGATCTTCGACGACTGTAAAAGTGTTTTGCAGCTGTCTTGATTAATATTGGTAAATAAAGTGTGTTCCGATACTTGTCCTTATTCACTCCAAATCCACACGAACCCCGTAAGAACGTGAAAGAAGATAATAACGTAGCAACTGGTGTCAGAAGTAGGATTTGCAAGTGAATGCCAGTGACCCGCTTGCCATGGCGGAGGAAACGAAGACTTGGATTGACTTCTGTGGTGATGGCGATAAGGAGCGCGCCTTGCGCCCTCCGATAAGTGTGGCAACCCTAGAGGAGAAATTTCTTACGAGTAGCGAGCAGAGCGAAACAGGCAGGCTGTCGGGGAGTATGCGCGATGTTCCTAAATAAACCTTAATTTTTATTGTGCACTATGTCTTGTTAATATTATATTAATGCAGTAAGAACATAATCTGTGATATGGAATTCGAGGATTGGTGGTAAAACATACAGGTAACAACATGATAGGAATCACCATAATGGTAACCTGGAACTGTGTTAAATCAGGCCGTATGAACAGTTCTCAAGCACTTTCGGTTTTGACTACAAGGCCATCACTCAAGATCTCCAAACCAGAAGTAATGGATTACATCCGGTTTTTCGTCCTCCGAATCACAGATGAGTAGTAATTATAGATCATTTTATAATTCTTGTTTCCTACTTATCATTTAATTTCATTTTCTTTAGTTAAATTTTTGCTTTTATTTTGGGCTTAAAAACCTTGCACAATGTCTGATGTTTATGCCGTCCAAATTCCGGTTTATAACCGATCAGACCCATCTTTATGGTTTATTATGTGTGAAAGTACCTTTGCTCTTGCCACCCCCAAACCTATCACAGAATCCATTACTAAATATAATTATGTAGTTTCTCATCTTCCTCCAGATATCGCATCACTAGTACGGGATTTACTTATGAAACCAGACCCTATTGATCCATATGCAAAGCTTAAAAACTAAGTTAATAAATCGTTCAGGAGAATCTTCTCAGCAAGAAATTCGCCAATTATTATCTGGAGAAGGAATTAGGTTCTCGAAAACCTTCCGATTTGCTTAGAATATGAAAAACGTCGAGCAGAATCTTTAAATGTTCCTGATAACTTAATGTTAGAATTATTCCTTCAACGTTTGCCTTCGACTGTTCAGTCTATTTTTGGCAGCGGTTTCCAATTTAACTGTAGATAAAGCTGCAGAAATTGCCGACAGAATTTTAGAAGTAAATCCAACCCCAGGGACTTGTGCCGTTTCTCGCACAGTCGATCAGTCTCTTGAGGATAAATTATTTAAACAAATAGAAAAATTAAACAAACGTATTGATCGCATTTCTCTTTCTCGTGGTCGCTCGCCAAATCGCGGAGATCGCAATAAGGAAAGAAGCAATTCCAAAAGGAGAGATTATTCTGTTTGCTGGTATCATAGACGTTTTGGGAAAAAGTGTAGAGATGACAAATGTACAAAACCTTGTTCATGGCAGGGAAACGAAACCAGCAAAGAATAGAGGCGACTTATTCTTTGCCTCAAGTTTCACGTCGCCTGTTCGTTCGTGACCGTAGAACAAACCTTTCATTCTTGGTCGATACCGGCTCTGACAAACCCAACAAACACTTTTCGCTGCTAATTCTTCTACTATTCATGTTTATGGTCAAAAAACACTTTCTTTGGATTTCAAATTAAGACGACAGTTTACATG